CGGTAGAAAAGGAAAAAAGAAGGGGGGGCCCAAACTCAAACAACAAACAACAAAAAACCCCCCCCCCCCCCCCAACAACCAACTACAATGAAACCTACAACAACCAACTACAACGAGAACTTTAGATTGAACTAATGGAATCCTTGTCTCTACAGTTCCTCGGATAGTCCTCTATCTTACGTTCCATCTTTCTGAACAACTGGGATCACGAACAGAAGCTTAGTGAACTGAACATGACCGAGTTGGTGAGAGATGGAAGGAAAATCAGGCACTGATGTGGAGTGTCATTTACATCAACCAAAAGATCTCTGAAGCGAAAACAAAAAAATCAAAATATTTCAGAACTAACCGTCTCCCGGAACAATCACTCACTGTGTTTCAACAATCACTCACATATTGGAGAGCTCAGGGTTCAACGACGATGACTGTTGAAACAGGACAGACTGTACATCTATGAAATGAAAAATTCAGGTTTATCTAATGAAATCCTTGCTCTCTACAATTCCTCCGATAGTCCTCTCTCTATCTTACGTTCCATCTTTCAGAACCAAATTACACAGTTTCTCAGAGAGTAGGTGTTCGAGAATCCTAATCAAGAGTTTTGATAAACAAACAAACAAACAAGAACATGTAGGTCGTAGAGTGAGACACAACTAATATAATGAAGATGATGTGAGTTAACAAAGAAGGAATCGAATGATATCATTTCGTTTTATCTTCGAAATGTTTTCATCATTCTGTTTTTTCAAGATAGCGGAAGAAATTATTTCTTTGAGAACCGTACAACCGTTGCAAACTTGTAAATCTCGGCTTACACAGATTGCGTACTATCGTTTAACCAGCCAGGCTATCAAAATACTTGGATTGGCGATTTATATAAAACGAATAGTGCTTTCTACTGATCAAAAATTTGATTAAAATTTATGGGTTGGGCGAAGCAGTTCGTTAGAATTAGTTGACTCGTCATGTCCTTGACTTCACCGAGAAAAACCAAATAAGAAACTGTAAATCATATTGAACCGATATATAAATATGAAAGTAACAATCTAATACTGCTTAGTTATTCTATGAACATATCGTTTGGATAGATATGTATTCGATTTTTGTTTTGGTCTGTTGGGCAAGTCTAACAGCATGTCAATATGATCCATCCATAGAAACGTCGAAGGCTGGATATGAAGAGGTAATGTTTCGGTTGCTCATAAGTCTTAACTCAAATGCTCATCTGTAATTAGGCTGAGCAACAGATTGGACCACAAGTCATTCCACCTGAATATGGAACAGGAAAGGAACAACTGAAATATGTAGATGAGCGAACGAATGATGTATTGCTGGAGTTCGACAAAATTTTCGATCTCTTCAGAGAATATGTCAGAAAAAACCAATTCGGTCACTCTCCAAAAGACATTGAGTGAGCTTATCTGAGATTATCAGAGAATCAATGGCTTTTTAGGTACGCCGGAAAATTGGATCAGATACATTTGGAATGGAAACACTCGGTTGAGCTAGCACCACCTGGAGTTCAACAGGATTTTCTAAGTGGCATTCAGCGAGTTTCGAATTTCTTTAGCAGCGGGGCAGCTAGTGGGCTCTTCGACAGGTATAGTAACTAGTTGTTTCCTTCAAACATTCGAATGTGTTTCAGTCTTGTCAGCTTATTTACCTCGTTTACTCATGCATTCACTAGTATAGCTTCGATTTGGCAAGATGCCCCATCTGAGCCTGTACATAAACCAGATTGGCAGATTGATTTTGAAAATGCCATGCGCGAGCAACAGGTATTCAACTTTGCTCATCATGAGAGCCTTGGATTTGTTTTCAGAATCAACGTAGACGACTGAGAATGAGACTGAGACACCGACGTCACCATAGGTACCAACGCAATTAGTATATTTCTAAATGAATCATTAGCTTTCAATGATATGAATAAACCATTTGGCAAAACTGATCTGTCTAAAAATATTTTATGAATTGTATATTACAGAAGCACTGATAACAATGAATTAGAAAGCTCTGAGCTGGATACGCTTCCTTTCGCACGCCAGACTACTAGAAGAGCTGCAACTACGAGGAGAACTACTGTTCGAGCAACAACCAGAAGACCGACGACGGCCAGAAAACCTCAAGCTACTACCAGAAGAGCTCAAACAACAACTAGACGACCTCAAACAACTACGAGAAAAGGTCAAGCAACCACTAGGAGAACAGGGACAACTAAGAAGGCCGCCATTTCTCAATCAGCCCAGCAAACTGCAGAGCAGGAGCAGAACGTAGATGTAGACAACGGAATCCATGAAACATATATAAAAGTATGAAAACTTTCGAAGGAATATCAAGATTTGGTAACTATTTAGGCTCCTCGTATTATCAACGTTTTTGTTGACGATGATCAGCCAGCCGATCTTGTAAGTAGTGTCAGTGTAGAACGGAATGATCAATCACTTTTACAGATCGCTCAAGCTGTTGCAGCTCAATACTTCGAGTTTGAGAAGGGTGATCCCAATCCATGAAATGCTTACATTGATATTAACACCCAACCCTTTTAATTAATAGAAACAGTTTCCAAATGTACGAAGTACTGATTAGTTTTAACATGTTTCTTAATACTAAGATACATGTTTGTGTAATCATGTGAACGACAGTTGATTGTTGAGATCTTAAGCAAACTCGATTAACAACAAGTTGACAAGTATAAGTTGTTGTTCATAATTGAAAATCTTCAAAAATAAAATAAGTTCAACCGTTCTGTTCGTTTGCAACTCTTACAATGATGAGAGCTCGAGCCACTGTGTCATTAAACCGTTCCAGTTTATACTGATTACTATGATTTGTCCTGTGAACCCTGTAAACCCCATGTGTTGAAAGATTATCCGGGACATGGTTCGTTAACGGATAAGCCATCATAGCCGGTTCACTTGCTCCTAATGGATAGATTTGATTAGAAAGCTCTATATAAGACTGTTATTGCTAACTTATAACATATCCGTATCTCGATGTTCGTTCTATTGATCTTCCCATGCATCTCACTAGTCTTAGCTCAATATAATGGACCCGCTATGCCGGTTTCCGCTTCAGGTTTCAAGAGTTTTGCTATGCATTCAGATAACCTCTTTTCCAGGATATGAGAAATATAATGAAATTGAAGAATCTCCTCACAGTTACGGAGCCGTAGACCAAGATCAATTAGCGTATCAATCGCAGACAGAAGAGATAGAAGGTAGCATCATCGTATGAACGCTTCACGTACAAATCTTAGGAATGATGGTCGTACCACGACCCATAGTCCCCGTTCACGACTCTCCGTTGACTGCCAGTGATTTAGCACATGAAATAGGTACGTTCGTTTAGAAGTTTTATGACCGAAATAGCATTGTAGTGGATCGCTTCGGTTGCTCCAAAACTTCTGAAGCTAAAGTAAAGCAATATATCGGGATAAGTCGGCCTACGTTCATAGGGAAAGCTAGCTCTGTCGTTCGAATTCTTCAAAAGCTTTGTAAAGCTCAGATTTCTGTTTAATTAATTGTTTGCCCAATAAAGACTAAAGGTTTAACCTTCTAGCTGTCATACACTTACTTTTCAATTTTTCGAAGTGTTGAATCTAGGCACAGATGGAGAATAAGATCTATGAGGAAATCAATTGTTGTCCGTATCATGTCGCTGCCAGCATCGGAGAAACTGAAAGGAACACTTAATCGTTTTACAACTATAAATTTCAGCTCTGCCTGAGACAGAAAATAGTTTTGCCATACGAAGTTCTTCTAGCGATACGCATAATAGGTCAAGGATTACTCAGCTTAATTAGCAATCAATGTCAAGCCTGTAAGGTCATTTGAGGTCGATGTAATACTGGTAACATTAGCTTCCGGGGATACTGACAGCAATACTAGTCAGTACGTTGTAGTAAAACGAAAACGGCAATTAGGAAGCTATTCCTAAGCGAAATGAAGTTTGCTGTACTTCTGCTATTACTGTCTCTGCATATATTATTGTGTTCTGCAGAAATTCAAGATGAAGACTGTTCCAAATTTCTCATTCCCAGGCGTAGTAAGCGGTAAGTCACCTTTGTTTTAAGATTTTATTCAAAATCCTCAGGTCAAGCGCACAGTTAGAAACTGATTATCAGAAGAATATCGAAGAGGCCGAAAGCCAAGGCGTAAGTTGGTAATCTCACGCTGTTTATATATTTTTTTAGAACGAACAACTTTTCGCAAATGATGCCTTATTTGACAGCAACAAACGACCCAAGCCAACGCCTCGAACTCGTACTCCAACAACAAGACGTTCAACTACACCTCGGACCACTAGGGCACCTAGGTATACTAGAACCACGACAACGGAGCCCACTACAACGGAACCTACAACAACAGCTCGAATCACTAGGACACCTAGAACACCTAGGATCACCAGAACCACTAGAACCACTAGAACCACGACAACGGAACCTACTACTACGGAACGTACTACAACACCTCGGCAATTCACCAGAACTATGGCCACAAGACGAACAACCGTTAGATACAACCCTTGGCAAATGTCCACTACCGCACGAACTCGGGCACCCTTAAGTACTAGAACTACTGCTGAACCTACACAGATAACGAGAGAAATTTACAATCCTAGAACAACAACAGCTTCTACTCTAAACCCTAGACCTAGCTTGTATACTAGAAGAACCAGAACAACTAAAGCGCAAACTTCACCTAGCTACAACACCAGAACCACCACAGTTTCAACAGCACGGACTAGACCCACAAGGATTACTACATCTCCAACCCCATACACAAGACCCACAAGAAGTACTACATCGTTAACTCCATCGACTAGACCTCAAGTTAACACTAGGCCCACCACAACAACCACGTCACGAACCAGAGTCAACTTAAATACGCGAACTACTTCACCAATGACAGTACAGACTCGAGCTACTGCTAACACTCGGATGACTAGAACAACGACACCGCCAACTCGAGATTACAGTAATACCAGGGCAGCTACAGATACGACATTGCGAACGCGGGCTAACTTGAACACGAGAGCAACAACGGTACCCTCAGTGCGGACACGAGCTACTAGGACCACCAGTGCCAGTCCACCGATTAGTGGTAATACCCGAGTAACCGCCACGACGAGGAAATCTGGAACTACAGGTACAACAAGAAAAGGAGCAACTACAACAACACCCACAACTCGTACCACAAGAGCATCATCGACGACCGCACGAGGATCAAACACCACAACGACAAAAGCTGTGGTAACACCTTTTCTGCATGAACTTCTAAATTTCGATTTCTATTTAGAAACAGTCAGTTGATCAAACAGCAAAACAGAAGCAGAATGTGAATGTGAGTAGCGTTTGTTTTCGTAGTCTTATTTTCATTTGCAGGTTAAAGGCCCCACGATTATCACCAAGATAATTATACCAACTGAAATAACTGTTTATAAGGTTATACCGAAGGTTAGATAAACCGGAATATCAGATTATCAACACAAAACTTCCTGTCTTCAGAATCGGCCTTCAATGGATTTTGTTGAACTGGACCCTGAATATATAAAGAAGCCCCGAGCATGAAGGAATCGCAATAGCTCTTGTAGCAGCATGCGTATCGTCTCTGACACGTTCTTAGAAAAGCAATAGCTTAGCTCCTTCTCACTGATCTTCTTTATGCCACCTTTTGAAGTTCTGTTATTAATATTTGTCGTTTCGTAGAAAACTCGATAATGAATCTTAAACCCTACAAGAAATGCTTGCCACCAATTCGAGAAACCTTCCCTTATCATAATAACTGTTGTGTAGAATAGAGGTCATTCAGCAAAGAACCCTCTATATATACATATTGAAGTCTGCCGACTACGTCGGTCGAGATTCTTCAGATCTTTGACAACCTTACCGGTCAGCGCAGGAGTATGATGATCTTCCTTTACGTTTTTCTTTTGATTTCGCCTGTTTGTGCACAACTCAGTGTTCAGGAAGCTGCAACTATCGTATGTTCTTCACATCAATCAGCTCAAAATAAAATGTCTCAGATTACTCCAGAGGTAGACACCCAAATATGCCGATCGGACGAAGAAAGTGCCGTCTTCTTCATTCAGAGAGCAGGCGTTCTGGAAAGTTATGCTTTCGGTTTCATCCCACCACTTGATTGTCAGCATCCATGATATAACTGTCACAATAAGATGTTTCAGCTTCATGTAAGGTTTGTGCTACTGGAAGCCAGTTCAGCTATCTCGGTATCAACTCAGGACGTGAAGTCAAAATCTCAGATATAGTCATAGTGGTAAGATTAACAGCAACTTTCGCTCTCTCATCTCTTCATAGCCTGGCCAGCCAAGTGATGCCATTATTGGCATGTTTGCTTGTGACCATTCAGCAGAGCTTTGCATTGAAGCTGTTAACAATGAAATGTACAGAGCTGAGTCTAAAGATGTTGTGTTCTACACTACTTCATATTGTCACGGTATTTCGAGCAACAGCAGAACTCGTCTACATCATAGTTAAGCTGGTTACTGCGATGCCATCATTCTCTTGACAGCTAACAGTTCGATCAGAAGAACATCCGATGGGGAAGTATATTCCTACGAAGATCAGTGAGTAGAAAACTGTCAAAATGCATAACAATATCATTTTTCTAGGACAGTTCTCATCAATGACCAAGACCGCAAGTATAAAGACGCTAATGAGCATAACTACTTAAGAGTGAGTGCAAAAGAAAACCGACTTGGTATAACAGTTTTTTCTAGGTTAGAGGTTTCTCCTGCAACAGTTGTAAGAAACCTATTCCATACTGCGATAAAATCGATGGACGTGTTGAAACAGAGTCCACTGCTACTTCGGAGCCAAGCATTGACTCTACCGGAACCCCTAACATCCAAGCAGATATGCCAAACATATCAGGAGATTTCCCAAAGCCTACGTCATTGACAGATATAGAAGTGAGTTACCTCTGAGATATATCCAGTGTATTCTGTTGTTACAGGAGTCAGGATACTCTGGAAACGTAGAAGTCCCTCAATCAGTCATTACTCAGGTACAAGCAGACGCTAGCACGATAGACAACTACGGAATGCCTTCCAAAGTTTGATTAAAAGATATTATATGTAATAAAAACAAATAAAAAGATTAAGAAATATCGATAAAAAACAAGTTTAATTTGTCAACAACTACTGCGAAAAACTGATAACAAGATAACAACAAAGTGTAAAATAGAAACAAACATAATTCAAAACCAATGTCAATCAACCTACTTATCAACGCAAGACGGTTCTTCTTCTTTCTCCACTACTTTCTCTTCGACTGCCTTCGTTTCACCTGAACTTTCACTGTCTGCTACTACGCTCTCCGCGCTATCTTTCTTCTCGCCTGATTCGTCTTGCACGTTCGTTTCCTATGTTCACGGAATTAGGAAGATATAACTACAAGACACGAACCTCAGCTTTGGCTGCCGCCATTGTTACAAAAGATTTACTGGGAACTTCTTCACTCTCCGGATCAGCTGAGAAATCGTGATGCACTAAATCAGACAGCCATTGGAACATGCTAAAGTACAGTAATTAGCATAATGTCAAAGCACGCGCAAATGTTCATTTCTTGTCAAATGCGGCGAAGAAGCGGTTGTGTCTCTGTGCTCTTCTAATGTGTAAGAGTTTGGAACTTACGATTGCGTGCGAAGCTCAGTTTCCAGAATTTCACTTAAGATGAGCTTAGATTTGAGCTGTTTAATTTTTTCTTCAACTTCTTCACCCCAATCAGATAACGGTTCGTGCGTTTTGGCATGCCTGAATAATCCATAATAGAATGAACAGCCTATGAGACAACTCACTTTCGATCATAGTTTTGATAATGAACGCGTTCTAACAACAGCCCTAATCCTGGGGCTCTGGGTACATCAATCTGAGAAAATGAATAACAATCAGAGAAACTAGATAGATCATACTCTTTCTCCTTCAAAAGATTTTTGGATATAGGATTTCAGTTGAAATTCTCGCACAATTGCGATCACCATTCCTAAATTTGCCGTTCAGCTTCATCTATCTGAAGTGTGGACAAACCAATCATTTTTCTAATTTGATGAAGAACGAAGGACTGTCCTTTGATTATTATTGTGATGAACTCAACTTGTTCATTCCTTAAGCTGTCTCTGAAAATATAGGGTTGAATCCAGATGCAGTATGAGGATATTACTCGTATAAAAATGGCTCTTCGCACTTGAAGTGGGTGATATACCGATAACAACTCTTGTCAGTAAACTCTCTGTAAATAGAAGAAGTTGAAGGAATAGAGTAGGATCAAGAACAACCTTCGAGAGGTATAGTTAAAGAAATTATGAGTTCCCACGAAAATATCCAACAAACCGTTTATTTCAGCAATCACTTCAGGTGTTATACGGTATGCTGCAGTTGACAACTGAAAAGTACTTTTTCAAAGAAACCTCGATTCCAATACCTCATGGGGCTTTGCAAAGGCGAAAGTAGGCAGCGTGTAGCTGTAGGTTCGAGCATCACAATGCTTTTGAGGGTGGAATTGATTCGTGGCTCTGCGAATTGCTAAACTTATTCTATTATCGCGAGTAAATATCTGTTTCTCACCTACTACTCGAATGTCTTCTGGTAGAACGTCATTCAACTCATCAGTGCCCTTTACGTAATCAATGTGACATGGTAGTTGCATTCCACAAACCTAAACGCCAAATCAACCATTGCGAAACTACTTACTTACTTGACGGACGGCAGATACAGCTTTATCCGTTCGAGCAGCTCTCTTTAATATACTCGCTTACGCGTCGATAGTATCATAACTAACTTGGAAATGGAAGCTATTAGGACATTCTCTCTGACTTTGAGTTATCCATCCTAGTTTGAGCATGTTATCTAATAGATGTCCTTCGATTGTAGGCTTGTCCTTTTGAATCTCAAACTTCAACATGAGACCCGACTATTGATAGTGTTAGTACCTGCATTCCGAAGTACTCTTTCCCTTGATATGATAGAAGCATAGCATATTTATGAAGCTTGATTCTCTGTGTTTTCTCAGGCTTAGCTTCTTCCTTGGTCACTTTACCAGAAATCACTGAATGGAGAGCATGCTCTGATGCGCTCTGTTCAACTACATCTACTTTCGTCATTGGGAGGATTACTCTCTGAATTGAACATTTGAAAAGATTGTGTTAGTCTCTAACCTTCAAAGAGTTGAAAAAATTTCTGATCGACAGTGTTGAAGACGATTTAAACCTGGAAACGCTCAACGTTTAGCTCTCATTCGAGATAAGATTCACAGAAGGCAGTTGTATATTAAGTATAAAATCGACACATCAAGACAGTGCTAGTACATAACAAGTGAATTCGGCGAGATAAATAACTTTATTGCATTGAACAGAATATGAAATATTCGACAAATCTTGAGCCAACCAATAGCATGATGACCAGAGCCACAACGAGAATAATAAGGATTCCTACGAGTTTACGTTTGACGGCCAACAAAGAGCGTCCGTCCTTTGCACAGCAGAAACAAGTCAGTAACCTATCAAGCAGAGGAAGCTGATTTTCTCTTTGAACCCTAGAGTGAGAGATAGTCATTTGTCTTCGGTCTCGGTAGACGGGAGCCTTCGGAAGTCCTGGATATGGCGGTGGGCGATCCATATCTGGATCTATCCGTAGAATCACTTCTTCATATGTTGGCAAATTGTCTTCTACCATTACTGATTTTTATCTAGAAAAAGAAAAATTGGATGCAAAAAGACAGAACTACTAGGGCAACTCCTACATTGGCTTCAGCCTTATACAAATGAAGACGATGAGGGTTGTTTGAGGTTCAAATGGGAAGGTACAATGATAGTTCTTATCTTAGTGTAAAAACTAAGAGTCACTAAAGTTTTTGTACTGTTTGCCTCACTAACCTGGAACAGTATGTCTACTGAACAAGTAGAGTCATGAAGTATTGACTACAACTTGAAACTGTTACTCTAGTCTTGCGAATCACATGAACTTTTGAATACTTGAGCAACTAGCAAGCTGATATGTAGCTGAACGATGGATACTTTCATCGCAGCTATGTTCCCTCTGTCAAATATAATTCCTAAACAGAAATACGTTTGATTCTTAATTCACACTCAAAGTACTTGTTTGCTTTCAGATTCAGACTTTACTCCTTCGACAATTTCCTTCGGCGTGCTCTTAAGTTTACGATGCTCGCTACAAGTTTTTTTGAATAAAAAAAGGATGAAATGAGAATTCATACCTGTACTAAGAGCCATTGAGATAGTTTGAGGAGACTATTGACATTAACACATAGCTTTTTTATCACTATATAGTAAATAGTTGATATGAAAAGAATAAATGTCAAAGCGCAAGTACTTTTCCTAATTCCACGTACTCATTTTCGAGTTCACGTCTATAGATCTGGCTTGGCTACCTTGACCCTAGTTGGGGTAATCTCTTAGAACTGTTAACATATTTTTTGTAATGAAATCCTTCAATAACACTGGTAACGTGAGCCCGGAAATTTTGCGGAGTAAGCATTTTCAATAGTTATCAAGAATTTCATGATTTTCCCGTTTAGGCGTCACCAAGATAGCTAAGAACTTACAACTCGTTTTCAATGAAGAACAACTCACAGCCATAATCGCGGTATTCTTTGCTTTTTAAATCGTTTAAGCTTCCTTGTTTTGAAGGCATTAGAGTCTGGAGCTAATGTGGAAGCTTTAATTCGTTTAATCAGCTCCACTGGATCTTCATCTGCATAATTCCTATCTGCTACTCCCTACCGGTTCTGTACACTTCCTCCTCAAACACTTGTGATGTAAAATAAATTATCAAACACGATTGAATTTGTTTTCATTTTCCTCGGTTCAAACCACCTTGTATTTCCTCCTAATCATTATGTTTTTTTTCAAATTGAACTCCTTTATCAGATCGTCAGATGGGGTTCTGGTCGAAGCTGCGTGACTATGACGCGTACCGAAAGCCCATGGATGATTTCAGAGTTAAAACTTTTAGCGGAGGATTAGGTAATGTTTCAAACAAATACAAAGATTCAAATTCCTTTTTAGTTTCAATAATAGCGGGAATTCTTATAATCTTTTTAATTTTCTATGAATTGAGAAACTACTTCACGGTCCAGACGACCGAGTTTTTATACGTCGACGCAACATCTTCTGATGCTAGACTAGACATTAACTTCAACATCACATTCCATAAACTACCTTGCGCTTGTAAGAAATCTTTTTTTTCGTCGCCCTCAATGAAAACGCGATTCAGTTGTAACCGTAGACCTAATGGACGTTAGTGGAGAGAATCAGGAAAACATCCAGCATGATATTTACAAATTGCCACTTGATAGCGAGGGCAAGAACATCTCTCAAAATTTACAAAGAATAGGTGAACATGATTAAGAATTCTAAAAGCATCATGAAATACAGAAGCAAACGAAAACAAAACGCACGTACCAACAGAATCTACAACTGTAGGTTGCGGCTCTTGCTATGGTGCCCTACCCGATGGAAAGTTAGTTTTGTTGGCGCGATAGAATTCTCAAAACCCAACTTCAGTTGTTGTAATACTTGTGATGAGGTGAAAGAAGCCTACCAACTCAAAGGTTGGCAAATGAACTTGGAAGAAGTCGAGCAATGCAAAGTGAGTCAGAAATACTCCTACTTGATTTCATAATAAGTTTAGAAAGATAACTGGGTTTTAGCCTACGCAGAACATAAAGGAGAAGGATGCCAGGTTTATGGGACAGTACAAGTTGCGAAAGTAGCTGGGAATTTCCACATCGCACCCGGAGATCCTTACCGAACCTTTCATTCCCATGGTTTGACAACGAAAAATATTTGCATTGAGCGCTGATTTTTAGTACATGATTTGCATTCCTTTGTGCCTACAAAATTCGATTGCTCACATACCATCAATCATTTTTCTTTTGGAAATTATTATCCAGGCAAAGCCCATCCATTAGATGGACGGCTATTCGACGAAGGAAGAGGTATAAAATTTATTTTTCTAGAAGAAATATAGAAGAGATTCACATCTTCACCCGTAAGCAATTATATGTTCCTACCATCAGGCCCATACATGAAAAAGCAATAGTACACGTCATCCATGTTGCCAGTGATTTCCCAAGAAATGGCTTCATTGCAAGTCCGTGTTGTCTGAAAGCAGTGGATGATTTTGAAATTTTTTCAAAAAAAATTGTCATCGGAGTCGCAAATGCTGGTCTCCCTTCCCCCCGTTTTTCATTTTGAAATCGCAAACGCACAGATCGGTTGATTGTTTAAAGCTAGTCCCAAAACAAACTGAACCCTTATTATAACACAAACATCATATGAAAACATGTGAGAACACAAAAATAAATTGAAATATTCGTAAAACTAGCCTGTAAGCAACATATGCTCCGAAAGGAACTCCAACCGTTGCACCTGTTTGTAAAGATTTGATAACCGTTGCTCGAAATTCGGGTAGACAACTTCCTAGTTCCTGAGCAAAGAGAGAGATTTGATATTAATGAGAGATTATAAAAAGAACCCTTTGAGCCTTTGCATACTCGGAAATTGAGGGATAATCCTTCGCTGGCATCACCTGAAGTATAATTTTTGAGCAACGTTGCAGGCGGAATAATGTATCAGTATTATTTGAAAATTGTCCCTACGTCATACTATTATTCGAATGGGACAGTAGAGCATAGTCATCAATTCTCTATCACTTCAAAGAAAAAAGATCTTTCTAAAGGTAATACTCGGAAATGAGGAGGCGAATACTAATCGTGTTATAGCGCTGGATGGAGTTACTGGCTTCTTCGTGATCTACGAGTTCAGTCCCCTTATGATACACATGGAGGAAATGAGAAAGTAAGATAGACTAAACGGAATTATAGTTCTATCGCTACATTTCCAGATCTATCATCAGTTTTGTTGTTTCGCTGTGTGCCATTGTTGGAGGTGTTTTCACCGTCGCCCAACTCATTGATTCAATGATCTATCGGGCAGAGATGGCACTCGAACGGAAACGAAGCATGAACAAGCTTGGTTGATTTCTGTACGTATTCAGCCGCGGCCCACTCACTTGCCACACGACAAAGTTGTAAAAAGCTCATTCAACTAAGTCTCCTCTCCCCCTTTCTTGTTATTCTTAACGGTTTGAAGTTCTCTTAAGCATATTAAAGCATTTTCGCTCTAAACTCTACACTACTGGGTCTTTTCTGTGATGTAACGCTACTTACTTACTTCCTCTTCACTCTCATTTGAAAGTACAAATATGGATAATAAACTATTGAATATATGAATTGAAGCAAGAGCAACACATGTGTAGTTGTATGTAAGAAACTTTATTGAACAAGCTTACCTCCTCTGCGTACTTCGTCAACAATCATTAAAATAAAATAACATGAAAATACCAATGCTAGAGAGGACAAATCACAATCAAAACTAAATCCACAAGTTCGTATTGTAATAGTAATAAGATAATAATAGCAATAGTAATAATTATATATGTAAAAGGAAATAATAATAATAGACGTGCTTATCACAAGAATACATAGAACAAACGAGTCTGCACAGGCTCTATAGACACTTAACCAAACATGCTACAGGAAGAAGAAATATTCAAAGAAATTATGCATGTAGGAAGAAGTCTAACGTATCCACCCGTCCTCTTTCATATAAGGAATAAGAATGTATGCTTTCAATTAGAAACAAGAACAAGTACCAATTCTTGGAGAGAAGGACAGGGATGATCTTCTTATTTACAAAATTCAGAAGAGGCGCCTTCATATATCTAGCGCACTATATGTTGAACGAATGAGATCGAGAGCTTATAACCAACTCTAGGGGCTCACCCATGGCAGTTAAGGGGGGGGGAGTAATAGGTGAAAAATTCAAATAATTCAGTTTATCCTACTTATAGCAGAAATGGCTAGAACTGTCGTTCCGGCCTTTCCTGATTAGTACCTCTATGGAAAATGGACTGCAGCATTCCCAAACGCAAATTACTAAAATCTGGTCTGAAAAGGATCGGCGTTTAGTTCCTCACCGCAAAATATAAAAGCAAATACCTTTCTCTAACATTGGTGGATAACGCAATATCTAAAACTCTGCTATTTGAAGAGTTTCTAAAATCGGCTTGTAGTGAGTCATACTGAAAACTATGGTTAGAAACATATATGTACAATGGAGGTACGAACCATAGTGGCTGTGGCACGGCTTATACAAGATGATCTTGAGGGAGCTCTTTGAGCTCCAATCCATTCAGTGTATTTCAAATCTTCTGCTGATGGCCGATCTGCTGCTCTTTTCCTCAGAAGACAGTACAAAAGCACTCGGACTGCAACAGAAAAGTAAACAACACTATTCGGAAATTCTCTCTCTGTCATTGTTCTAGCTTGAAGCCAGCAAGCGACATTGATGATTTTGAAAACGAAATTTCACATAATAAATTCTAATCTTACCATGTTTCGTGATAACGGCTTGAGAAGGCACTACGACACGAGCTTGCATAATCTTTTGGAAAACTCCGAGTGGAGTTTTATCATAGAATGGATAACGTCCTAATAGCAACAAGTACAATAGTACGCCCAATCCCCACATATCAGCAGCTTTGCCTGAATAGCCATCCTCGGATGAACACAATGCCTTCAAAGAATACAGTCACATGATTTGCAGGAAACCAGAATATTACCTCAGGTGGAGCGTAAGCCGGGCTTCCTTTTAATTTCTCTTTAATTATATCTGATTTCGGGGAATCCAATACCAGCAGATCCCATGGATGATTGATCCTTAGTTTTCCTAATGAGGGAGATTTAGCATGATCTCCTTGTATCTCTCAAACCTTCTTTAGACAATCCAAGTTTTTTAGGTTTTAACTCGCGAACAATAATGCCTATCCTATGGCAAAAAGCAACAACGCTGATGATCTGAATGGATGACCATGAGACTTGTTTATGAGAGAAGAGAGGAAGGCATGAAGAGGGGTAGAATGCTTACCTGTTGGAAAATAGGTTGAACATCAAGCTCAGACATGTCGGGTCCTTTGCTTTCTGCGAAACTGTGTAGAGTTTTGCCGTGTCCAGTCGGCAAGGTGAAATATATGTGACGGTTTTTGCTATCTAGTACAATACAAGCATCTTCTGGTACAATCATATTTCTGAAGAAGTGGGTCAGTGGAGGAAGGGACTAACCGACATACCTCATTTCATCGATGTCTCCGTTAGGGTAGTATTGATGTGCTTCATCTAGACGAGCGATGAGTTTCGTCATACTCTCTGCTTGAATTTCATTCAGGATCTGAAACACATGTGTGTGAAAGAGGAAGAAATAATTTCGAAATCTCACTTTACAATCATATACAGTACTTGTGGAACCATAGATGGCTTTTGCCTCATATCCGGATCCGATAATTTTAAAGTCACCAATAATGTCACCATTGCACTGAAACAGTACCGATGAGTCATCAAATTCTGAAATCGAGTAACTTACGAAAGGCTCGAGCTGCCCCTTTCCACATTTCGAGAATGGCGAAATGTCCGAAGCAGTCTGTAATTTATGTTTTGAAATCCTCGTGTTGACTAATTGTGTATTTACGGAAAGTTGAGAATCTGATTCATCAGACAGGGTCGAGATGCCGCTATCATAACGTCGTCGCTTCCTAGAGACCTCATCTTCTTCAGGATAGAATGGTTCCGTCAACACCTGAGAGGAAGGGGTAGTAGGAACAGCCTGCGGGGTCACAGGTGCCTAAAGCGCTCAAAATTAATTAACTATTGAAATGAAAATAAACTTACAACATTAATATTTAATAAAATAATAGACGGATCAGCTCTTCTCTTGCGATTTATCGCTCTGTGATGGTTTGAATCACCTACACTTGATTCGTGTGGGCGATCGATAGTATTTAATTGACCCGACATTTCTGGAAACATAGGAGTAAGGAGAAGCATCCTGGGACAGTGAGGTTGATGAGTTTGTAGATGGCTGGAGGAGGACGTTCAGAAGAAAAGCTTTATACAACCTTTTAAATATATCTTATATTGGGAAATTTGCTTTGCACTACTACACTACAACACGTGCACACCACTCGCGCCTACAAAAGCTCCGCCCCTATTTCATCAGAATTAATATTTCCCAAATAGAAGATGATGAAAAAGTGATGAAGTAATACGTAAATTCGATAACTACTGTGTTGAGAAAATCAACTTTCAGGAACTAATTACTAGTTAATTGAACTTCCTTTGAACTTTGTAACTTTCGCAATTACTTGCAAGTTGGCGAAATTTATTCAAAACGCCGATAAGAACCGATTACGAAATACACCACGGTTGGGCGATAATGACCTGATGTCTTATTGATGCTGTAGAGAGCTTGATATCTTTATTGAAATGGAACATCCAAGCAACAATTCTCTTGATGAGATCATTTTATCAGAGTTTTTAAGCAATTTGTGAAGTTGAAAAAAACAAAACGATTGACAGTTTTACATCTAACTCACCAGAACTGAATATAGGATGGCTTTTATAGGTAAGCAATATAGGATCTGCTGATATTGGATTCTCCTGACGCCCTTAGATAGGGCATCGGATTCAGTGTGATCCCTCCATGTCTTCTGAGACAGCGGACCAAATAAGAATATAAATTAGTTAAAGAGTCTCAAGTATTGTGTTTTGTGTCGGCACCAGCCTTTCAAACTTGCTCAACTCTCTGAAAACTTTAAAAAAAGCTTCAAAAAGTAGAATATTAAGCTTGAAAAAGCACCGAACGAAGACACACGTGAGGACACAAGTCTGTCGGGCTGGACGCGTCGCGAAGGGCGTGCGAGCGGCTGCGTGCGTGTTTAAGTCGCGCATACGACGATCCTGATTGGTTAGCGTCGAGAAGATTTCATCACTTCTATTCTGTGACAATGCCACGCAAAATTTCCCAATCATTTGAGGTGTAGTGACCATGAGACCATAGAGAACAAGATACTGACTTGCTGCTAAGATAATTTGAAAACAGTCTTCCTTTTACTGCCCAGAGAATGACGCGTGTACTACATATTCACCCTATCCCATTCATTTATAAATGTCTTTTTGTGCCTCAAAGAATCCTTGGCAATCGCCGGCCGCAGTCAGTTTGCATCAGGGAAAAGCTAGCTGCCGATGTTTAAAGTTTCGCAATGTTCATTTATTTCAACTGCGGCTGAGCTGTGTTACATTTCGACTTCTTGAGCGAATGGAACGAAGAGCTTGGATGAAATGGAAAGCAAGCGCAACACAACAGTCATTGAATATGAATCAATAAGCAGACAGAAGAATGAGAGGAAAAAACACATCAAAAAAACAAATATTTTCTTTCTTTCGTAGAAAACACTCGAATACATAAATATGCTTTTGATGGTTTTCACGAACCTTCCTGACCCTTCTACAACTTTCATGATTGCGAGCATTCGTTTGCTATCAATTAAGTACTCGGTATCATCTCTCAGTGTCCCCCTTACAGGAGCATATGATAGAGGTGAAAGTCACAATTCTAACAAAATAAATATTTTTTCCACCACGTCAGAAAGTGGAAGAGGTGGAGGAGACGGAAAAAGACGATGAAGAAGAGAGAGAGAGAAAAGAAACGAAGAGAACGAAGAAGAAGGAGAAAGAGAGTTGATAACTCGGATGCAACTGGTTTTACGGCGTCGAACAATATAAAATGAATGGCTACATAAACTCACGTGGAAGCGATTCACGTGAGGATATGGTAATGTCATCAAGGCTGAACAAAGTTTAGAATGATAATTGCATCAGTAGAACTACAAATTGATGTGACACTGATAATCATTCCTAGATCATTCAGAACAGATTTTTTGATTCACAGCTTAACGGACATGTGTTATCAAAGCGACGTGCAAATCTTTAAGAAATCTGAAGCTACTTATGACCATATTTCGAAATGTTGATCATGTTACCAAATCGCATCACAACTTCGGAAGTAACGATGACTATCTCTCTCCCATCAGTTTGTCTATGAATATATGACTTTTGAGTTTGGTTAAGAAATAGGCGTCAGCTCCGTTGATCGAATTGCACAGATGTTGGCAAACAATCAGGTTAATAAAGCGATTTCAATGGGATACATCGTCTCCCTTATATAACATGAAAAACGTTCATCCAATCAATCATTGCTGAAGTCGAGACAAGAGAATTACAAAAAAATAAATTGGGTTTTATATGCTGAAATGGTGTCGCCAACTAAGACGAAAAGGCGTTTGTGCTTCATGACGCCAAAAAGAAATCGTTCAATCACAACATGTCCGAACATATTACGAATGATGGATGGTGAGACTTTTCAACTCAATATAATCATGGGACTGTTTCCTGTTCTATAAAACTTTTTTTTAGAAATATGAGTTAAAACAACTATTTTAGAAGACACACTGAGTCGACAAGTACTCAACTGCTGTTCAAACAAGTTCGAACTGATTCCAAACGATTGAGAGAGCTTTATTACCAAAAAAGTAAAATCAACTAAAAAAAGTTAATAAATTATATACAAGAAAAGTAACCGTCCATCAAACTTAAAGGCAGGAGAGACGAAAGAAAAGGGTTTGGTCTGAGGTATTGGGACGATCCTTGCTTTACTCCATTTGTGGTCCGAACTTGGCCAATGGATCATCTTGTGAGTCCTTATCTTGAACATCTTCTTTCAGAGGGGCCGATGGTCCATGAAATATTGCTACGACAGGACTGCCTGGAAATGGCAAGATTACACGTTTCGTACGATCCGTCACACAAACCCTCAATGGTCCCGGTAAACCTTTCTGGAGTTCTGTCTAAAGTCGCTGGAAGGGCATAGGTTGTCACGCAGCTGATCAAGAGAGTTAACAAGGTGACAAGAAATTGGGAAATATTCATATTGGAGAGAAACGTCGGCGGTACGTGCTGAAAGTAAAAATTGGAAGAACTGTTTCGACGCAAAAATCAGAGGACATGAAGAAAGTTGAGAAGACAGTGTTGGCTTAAGCTTCGAGGCCTCAATGTCATAAGAGTTTACGAATTGATACCGTGAAGAGCGACGGTTTGACAAGAAACAAAGAAGGCGGAGCTTTTCTTGTTGTCCATCATCCTCATGGCCATAATAGGTTTCTTGTGAAAAGAGAAAAGGAGTGGCGCCATGTTGACGGGACTTCAGACGGAACTTCTGTCATCAACGTCAAATAACGTGGCTGAAGTTGAATTTAAAGGAAGATGGATGATAGGCAAATGCCTGATTGACAGAGATTTCTTCTTGTTCTCACAACTTTCTTCACCTCCCTCTTTCCATTTAATCACATTAGCTTAATCATCTTTGCCTTCTGCATGACAAAAACTTCTTCTGACTATCAACAACTTGAAGAAGTAAAACAGTTCTGAAAGTCGAAATGAAAATCCAAAATAATCAGAAAACAACAGATTTGAACGAAAATATGTTTAAAACTGGAAGTAATAACAGTTGTTATAAGGACAAACTCATAAAAAAAACTTTATTAAAACATACTCTTTGAGCAAAACAACAGCAAAAACTGGATTTTCCAAACTATATACAACGATAGGAGAATCTTGTGAAACTGTTAGAAGGTGAGTGAGCGTTTGAGAGATTTAAGGGTAAGCCAACGCCTGCGTCCTGACTTCGCTTGTCCGTAGCATATAGCTTTTGAGCAAATCATTCCATGAAATACATTTCAAAACGTAATTGTTACCCATTATTCCGGATTTCGGGAAAGATAATGGCCCCAGTATACAATATTGAAAACTGTGAAAAGTCCGGGAAACAGAACCATGCTATATCGATCTATCTTGTCAACAGTCCACTGTCTTCGTAGTTTCGAAGGAACATTGTATGTTGTCGGCATTTTAGTGAACGATGTTTCTTCACTATTGCCCTCCAGCAAAAACATTTTCTCTTGTATTCTTCAACATAAAGAGCGATGAATAATTCCTGCACTTTGTCACTAACCTGGCTTGTTCGGTGATGGAGCTTCGTGTCAGTTGACCGGTAGTTGTTAGTAAAATTTTCTTTCGAGTTCGCGGATCACAATCTGAAAAGGAACAAAAACCTTTCTTTCAGTTCAGATACGACATGAAATGCTAATACAAGCATCTATCACAAACCTGACGTTCCATAACTGCGAAAACCGTGCGGGCTATCAGATGGAATATGATTGAGACATATTCTCGGGGAATTCGGACATGAATTCGGAGACATAGATCGATTAGCACTTCCATTCGTTGTGGCATTTGATGTGCCATTTCCGGAGTTGGGTGTTTTTTGCTATAAATAATTCATATTAAGTCAAAACGTCAAATACTAAAACGCACCTCAGAGTTTGCACCCATCGAACCAATTATGGCCAATTCCAGTAAGGAGCAGAAAACGAACGTTAAACAAACAAGCATCCAAACATCTGAAAACGAACCAGAAATTAAGCATCAACAAACTAACATTTACAACCTAAAGCTTTGACGTAGCTGACGCGAGGTAAGTTTCTCATTATATTTCCGAACTGGAAGGTTAAAGCAAGTAGAGAGTTGACTCCAAGCATTGTTCGTGCAGGAATCATCTTCGGACCGAGACAGAAACTGATCCAGCTGAAATCAAATCTTTAAAAACATTATACGCAGTCAAGGACGTACCTTATGAAAATGGTTAGATATGTGGGGATGTAGGCTTGGAATATGTACCAGCCATACCTCCGAGAAAACACGAAAGACATTGTAAGTTCATTCCATACACCAGCAGGATAAATCTAAAGAGCAGCATGATCATGAATATGAACAGGAAATAAGCAAACTTCTTGTTTGATGGATGTTGTATAATTAGTCAAAACAAAATCAGGAAGAACAATCTCCTTCTTGAGTAACGTTAAACCATCCGTCCAATTGACCCATTGCATATCAACCTGCAACATTGATAGTTACAACCTTGTTTGGAGAACTTCATTACTTCCTGATTATTGTAACTGAAGGATTCTAAAGTGAGTTGGCATGTTTGAACATCCATCGGGAAAGCACTAAACGATATTCATGTGTTTACGATAACATAAACTAACAAACCTAAAATCCATTGAGCACGGTCCTTTGACTTGAACTCGATAATTCACCCAAACAGTACCATTTGGATATATCATGAGAAACACGTTTTTGAAAGGAGATTTATGAATATTTGCAGATTTGCTATTAATAAATACAGTGTTTGGTTTCCATATTTGGTCCAATATCTGAAAACAATTTCATTACTTACATCATAATAACAAACTGCAAGCCTCAGAATTAAGTGATAAGTTGTATTTGCAAGGATTCAAGTGATCATATCGTAAAGCTTGATCCATCCACAATTCTGTTACATAGATATCCATATCGAAGTCACTTGTAATCTCATTGACAGCATTCACCTCTTGTACCCACACCTGAAAAGAGCGAAGAATGAAGTAGGAAAATGACATTTCCGCATGATTTCATAATAATAATTAGCGGAAACTGAAACTCAACCGCCAACGCGACTTGTAGCTTAGAAATGAAAAGACCTCACTCACGTGATGAACTATTCGTACATTACGTGAGAAATATGCTAATTATTAAAATGACAGCCCTACCTCAATCCATACGACAACACCAGTCTCTGAAGGCGTTTTGAAAGATTTATAATTGCTGAGCAATTTTTCCAAAATAGTTTTATCGCTTGTACATGTCATATCTTCATCTTCCATAGTTACAAGTTCATGTCCGTCTATTTTGAACTCATCGTCTTCATATGTGCTCTATGAAAGGACATAAACGTCAATCGGCTGTGATAGTTGATGATAGCCTACCTCTGCAGAAAATGGAGTTCTAGTAGTCATATATGTTTTGAATTTAATACTATCCTGGAAAGGGTGTGGTAATGTAATGCGTATTGAGAAGCACACAAATAGAAAGTTATATAGAACAGAAAATCTAGCTGTTAGCAGTTACAAAACAAAAAAAGGAAAAGAGGGGGTTCAGTAAGCTAATCACAGATATCACCTCTTGATATCGTAATCGCAAAGCTTTAAGCTCGTCTGAATCAGAAAGTTCCAGTATTTTATCATTTTTCACCTTAAAATGGTTTTTGTGAACTTTCCGTCAATGTGTCAACGATATGATGTTTGAATGAGAAAAGCTGAATACCTTTTGAAAATCTTCTTCTTTAGCTATGACTGCCGCAGAGGCGATAAAAACAAAGAAAATGCTCAGCATTCGCGTTATTGAATCATTTGGTTGTAGGAATGGATCTGGAATATACAATTCATACTAATCAACAATTAATTACAATCAGACAAAACTCTCAAGCAGCATATATGGGAAAGAGAAAAGAGAAGGCGATTTGAGCAAACTTAAAATACATTATCGAGAGCAAATCAGAAAAACATACGCATAATTCAAAAAAAAAAAAGATTTGAAGTAAACCAAAGTTAATTTGGAAACTTCCAATCATAAAAAACAAAACAGAAATCATTCTGGATGTGTGTGTGTGTGTGTGTGTGTGTGTGTGTGTGTGTGTGTGTTGGGAAGTCTATATGCCGACATTGACATACACCAATGTAATGGCAACAAAACAACAAATTTAAATAGAAACTAACAAGCTAGGTGAAGTAGAGTCATGTTGCAACACAGCCGATTGCCTCGTAAGAGTGAATGAGCTAAGATGAAGTTGAACAGAATGAAAACTGAGCGAAAAGGGAGATCTTTTCTTGGCAAAGTTCATCTGGAGAAGTTCAAACGTTTCAACTTTGGGACAATTGGAGAAAGCACGTCATGCAGTATGAGCAATGAGTTCTCAAAGAAGAAAGAAACAAAATAGGTGATGAAAGATGAAAGTAACAATAGTGATGAACAGAATTTAAAAGAAAAACAACATTAAATAGAATATAAATCCTAAACTTAGCTGAGACGCTGATCTGAGAGGAGAAGGAACAATGGCGCTGACACCAAATTACTTCCTGTCACCTAGGTTATAAATAAAGATAATAAAGGAAAAATGAAGCTTGAGCGAACGCAGAAAATATATCGAAAAATATAAGAAAATCAGTCGAAATCGCAGTTGTATGATATACGATTGTAAGGGAGATAGACGAAAGAGACTAATTCGAACAACAACCGCTCTGTGTGTGTGCCACCTTTAGAAAATGAATGATTCAAGTTTGAAGTCCACGTGTCCACGTATATGAATTATGTTAATTCGAGCACATGTGGCGAAAGCATTAAGCATTGGAAGTTTTATTCGAATTTAATAGATTGGCCAGGTGAAGGTGCTTAAGTTGAAGATGTGAAAAGAAAGAAAAAGATCTGGTGTGGAGTGTAGTGGCAAATCAACAATATCAGTCAACCATCCAGTCACGTCCTGCCAGTGAGAGTGGTGGAATGGAGGTATTAAAGCTCTAATTGCTACTATTTGAAGAGAAGCGAATTCAGAAGAAGTGAGCATATGCCGACGATGGATGGTGTAATAACTTCTTCACAATTTTAATGAAAACACATTCAACACTTCTAATATTTTATGAATAAGTTATTATTACTGCCAGATTTAAGGGGATGAAATGAATATGTTAGGAGAGCGTTGAAGCATCTTCTCTCTCTCATACTCTCTCTCTCACCTTTCATATACACACACCTCCACACATTAAGATTGTAACTCATGGCTGAATCTTCGGCTTATCAGACTCCATTTTGTTCACCAGTTCATTAGAAATGAGTGATGCCATCACATGGACGCATACGATGAAAAGATATTTGAACATGAGTCCAATGTATGATCTCAAGAAGGAGATCATTAAAGAAAACGCAAAAACAATTAAAGAAGATGGATTTAAAGAAGTTTTTTTTGCTTTAAGACATATTGCCTCATTGGATGTTATTAGAGAAAGAAATATAAAGAGAACTTAGCCAATTCATTCTCCATGTCAACGAGCGACAAGCTTCCGGACATGCTCCCCCAAACGAGAAAGAGGTAAATAGAGTAGAAAAAAGGTTTCAATTGAAAGAACGAAACTAAAAAAAAGTGAAATAAGAAGATGATAAATGCTTCGACAAGATCGAAGGAGAAGAGAGCTGTCGTCAGAGTGTTCTGAATGATTTGTTCAATGAACATCAAAAGCAAAATATCATTGACATGGAGTAAGGGACCCTTCAAACTAGAAGAAAAAACTAAGCTCAATATGCAGTTTCTCGAGTGGGATATTTAGAAATTAAGGAATTGAATAAACGCTTGACAGCAGGAAGACGTTTTTTCTTCTTGACGATGGCAGTGTGACTGATGGTGCTGTTGTCGACGTTGTTTGCTTTCCATGTTGATGAGGTTTGAAGATGATATGAAAAGTACCGCTATCGAGTTGGCAAAATGAAGTTTTGAAAGCAAAAAAGACTGCACATGATGTAGTTTTATTGCTCTCATTATCCGAAAACCTATTTCGAATTAATAATGCAAGGAAAGTATACGCAATGAATGGAAGACTGCTAGGCAGTTGGGGTTGTAGACGATGTGATTTCTGGAAGTCCCAATAAATAATGAATACCAGTGAGTGAAGTGCTCAGATGACACATAATGAAAAATAAAAACAAGAAAAGAAGAAACAAGTATGTTTCAGTCGGGATGTGAGGGACATGTCAAGTTCGAATAAGCTGTAAGAGAATTATGCATAAAGTTAAGTGACACAGAAAGTTCTTCGCTATGACTTAGGACGAGTTACTGCTGAAAATATTTTTGTATTGCAATATCCTATCCATATTATATAGTAAGTGATGACTAAGATGTCTTAAGGCAGATGATACGCCAAAGAAAAACAAGGCGGAAATGTCAAAAATATGAACTGAAAGCTCAGATCCACTTTCTGTTTCAATGGCTACTCAAGATATTTTGGACGAATTAAGTCTTCTCACTTCAAGAACATCAAAGGTTCATGAAGCTGCTACATGGAGCTGCACACACAAAATTCAAAACGAAAACTTTCTTGAGAAGGTGTATTTCAAGCAGCGGGCTATTACTTAACTGAAACAGAGCAATTACGCTCGTTTACCTGGACAACATAGCGAGCTTGAGCATAGTCAGGCGACCCGACAACGACCGAAATCCGATTACTTAGTTCATTCTTTTTTCGGACACTTTGAACAAAAGATTTGTTTGAGATAGATGAAAGCAAAGAAAATTACTTATATGAAGTTAGTAAGAGCGAAAATATTCAAAAGCGGCAAAGGTAATAGTGCTCTAGGTGTCCATGCATCTCGTTTGGAGTACATACATAGAACCGGAACTAGTTTAAGATGTGAACAGAAAGAAGCTGTGAGCGAATAGTCCCCAAAATTTGCATTAAAACAGATTTACGAAAAGAAAGCAAGAGTAAAAGGAAGAAAATTATTAAATTATTGAGACGCCCACAAGAGAGTGAGTTGAGCGTACGCAAGACACAACCGTACGCAGCGGACGTAAAAATAAAAATGATAATTTTCGTTGTGTGACGTATACGTGGATGTTTTTAAATGTTGTAGGATCGTAGCATAAGGTCAGCTTGCGGAGGAAGTATATTGAAATGAAAAAAAATCTGCCAATTTGAATTTGCTGCTGTAGTCAGCGAGCTGTGATAGAGATGGCATCTGGCTTCATGAAAAGTAGGGATGAATGAAGGAAAGTTTAATTTGGGAGCAGTTTTATGAAGAACAACCAGGACGTCATAAGCAAATGAACAGAAAGCTATTTAGATAGAGAAGGGTGGTCCTACGACGTGATGGGAATGCATGAGTGATTGGATAGCAGGGAGAGTTTTCGAGAAAAAATAAAGATTCAGTTGATTAGTTCAGATGATATATAGACTATTTGAGTACTTTGAGAGGAATAATATGCGAAAAAGGAAAATATGAATGAAAAATGGAGACAACTAGTAAGCCGATCATTGAATTTGAGCTCTTAGCTTTCTAATGTTGTTCTTTTCAAATAGTCGAAAACGATTGGAAATGAAGCCGAAAGAAGATGGGATTAAATATAGTGAAAGAAGCTGAGAAATGGGTTGAGGCCATGCCCGTGTATGGTCGTATTCTCGTTCTCCTCATACTTCATCATATTAATCCTTGTGTTCCGGGTTTTTTTCTGTCATGGCTAGAGAGAGAGCAGAATGGCCTCTCAAAGCGTTGGGACGAAATAAAATTGATGTTCTATGACGGTTCATTAGGGTTAATGAATTTGTTTATCTGTAATATATGCCCTCATATATACATATGTGATCATAATTAAAACACGATGAAGAGAGATGTTGCAGGAGAAAGTTTTATTTCTTTTCGTTTCATCAAGAACCAGCATATAATGTAAGAGCCATTAAAGCTTACAAAGTTTATGTAGAGAGAGAGAGAAAGAGAATCACCTATAGCTATGATACATGTCAAGTGAGATCGGAGAATGAACTTGATATAGCCTATACGTCATACAACCTTTTCACGTGTTATTCGCGCACAACGATAGGTCTACCACCATCCTTACTAGCTATAATATTCTTGATGACCAAGAATATAGCTAGTATATGACAGATATTCACAAATATCATGCAGCATCGATATAAGGTGAAGGTGAAACAACGTCGAACGTTTTCCCTGTAAAGTTCAAGAGTCGTCTCTTCATGATGGCTATGACGTTACCTGGTATCATGCTTCGGGTTAAGTGGAAGACATGGCCAGAAGAAGCGTAGCTTCGTGAATTTTATGATACCCCAGGAAAGAGCTACTAGCTTGATACACGATGAGAAGAAGACGGGATTAGCCAGTGACAAACGGGGTTCGTTCGTGAAAAGAATGTTCAGAAACGAAGGGCAAGGCACCTGAAATCAAAAAAGTTTGAATAATATTTGTATTGAAGCGACTCTCTTTTCTCATCTTAAAACGTTTGAGCTATTCTGAACAGCTGAGGAAGGTATAAGTGTACTTCAAGGATTTTCTGCATTGACGATGTAATGACCAAAGTCAATTTATATTCCACAAAATCAATCCTCAACTATAGTGGACAGACGAGATTCACCCTCCTGACTCTTCATATCCTTCCTTCTCTCTCTCTCTCTGTCTCTCTATGCTAGCTGTGCGTTTGCACTAAAAAAACGTCTTCCACTGAAAGAGGGAACATATCTGTGATTTCAACGTCAGTAACTTGACCGAAAAAACTTGGTCATGACCTGAACAGCCCTGCGAAGATTTATTTCAATGATTTTTAGTCTTTTTATTCAAATGGGTAAAGACTCATTTATCTCTTGCTAGAAGTCATGGTTTAAAAAGATTTTTTTGGCAAGGAAGCATATGACTGAGCAAGGAATTAGAAGTCTATCTTCTCCATGAAAAAGCATTACATCATCACACACGCAAATGGATGATCTAACCAAGTCGTGTAGTGTTTGGAAATTAGTTGAAAAGCTGATGTTTTACAACAAAAAATGTTTTGAAACTTTTTGTGTTAAGAAAGATTAGTAGTTTAACAAAAGATGAATAAGCCTGTACTTTTTTCCCAGAAGTATCTCAAGACTTTAGCCAGCTAGCAGAAAAAATGATTTTTGAACTGAATAGTACTATAACACGAGGCTCCATCTCCCTCTCTCACCCTCTCTCACACACACAAACACATAGCTTAACCTATCACAACTAATTAAAGTAATGAATCTTCATACCTCTTCTAATGCCAAGACGAGACTTTTCGCCAAACGAGCATAGAATATGTTCTCTTCGTCATGCTTCAACGTCTTACACACGTCGATCATCTCGAAAACATAAACAAAAACTGATAACGCTGTAACATATATAAAATATTTTAATTGAGGCCGTCTCTTGACTAACCAGTGAAGAAGAAATAGCCATACGCTGCATAGATCGCTGTTTGGCTTTGAAAGTTACTGAGAAACTCGGCAATTCTGCAAAAATCATTTTTTGAACTTGAACTGTAAACCCTACTACCTCGAGCAAACAAGGAAATCTGCCATAAGATCTAGTGTTGACGTGAGGAGAGTTACAACAGCTATCACACGAACTGGTGGAGCCCATTCGAGATGGTTACTGAAACAGAAAAATCTAGATCGGATCAAAAGGACGGCAAACTCACGCTGGACCATCAGGGTCTTTCCATGCTAATCGCCAACCCATTATAATAATATGGTTAATAAATTAATAAATAAGACAAGTGTTCAATTGACAACAGAAAGAGACGATGCTCACTTCACTGCAGGCCGCTACAAACGGCGATTGATATGTTCTACAGACGATTCAACACAATAACCGAAAACCTCGAACAAGCTTGTAGGCGGACAGCTGGGCCGAGTGGGAGGCTGAGTTATGTATCCTAGGAGCCACACAAAGGATTGAAGCCACAACCGGGGCAAGAAGATGATGAGAGCAGGAGCTAGCAACAGATAGAACAAGAGAGAAAGACAACTGATCATCCTGCAGCCCATTTTCTCCCTCTGGATCTTCTATATCTCTCTGTAAGCACTGCCTCTGTTCTGTTTTGCTTCTTTGTCCTAACAGGCTAAATCTCTCAGGAGAGTGCGCTATCACTACTTCTCTTCACACATTCTCTCTTCCATTATGAATCAGTTGAGATATCGTCCGCAGGTTGCCAGATCAAGCTCATCCATTGACCGCCTGTTATAGACGCTAACGTCAAAGCTATCAACAAATCAAAACTTATAAAACAACGAACATGTAACTCAGTTGACACCTTATCATTCGTCCATCTCATCCGTTTGATTTCACTGAAGAGATATAAACATTCATCCAGCAACTACGAAGAGATCGGAATTCGAAAAAACAGCTTGAAAAAAAACTAAAAATAGGATAAACTATTAAACCTGAAGGGAACAACCGCTCATTACGTCAACAAAATTTAAAATGTTTGCAAATCATCCCACGTCATTTTCACGTGAAATCCGATACTCTACCAAGCAGCGTCTCTTTTTAAAAACTAAAATTAGCCAAGCGAACGCTTAATTAGCATAAATATCAGACAGTACGAACTGATGATAATCACAAAGGAATATTGAGCTAAGAGAATTTATTTATTGAACAAACAGCATTTTCAAAGAACAAGAACATGTCAACTATGAAATGACGATGATGTTCTTTTGTCTGATCGAACTCAAGTTGAGTCATGTCCGTGCAATAGCCAGTAGACCACAGCAAGCTGTGAAGTTCGTTAAGAGCTACGTAAAGACGTTAGTGTTCCTTATCAGATAGCATGAACTGCTGATCAGCAAAGGACACATGACGCCACTCAAGCAGTTAGGATAATCCAAATACTGCAAGACGCTCAGTTCTAAAAGGAAATGAGATTTGATATTTAAACATAACTGACCATGTTTCTTTATGAACTTCACTTATCTTTATTTGCAAAACGTCATGTTTATTTTGAGCGACGATCTATCCGTAGAAGTGAGGACGGAAGTTAGAGAATAAGTACGAAGTATGTGTGATAAAATGATCAGCAACAAGTAAACATTCACCTTAATAGTAATATTCTAATGAATAGGGGAGACCTTTGAAATACGCATTTACATAATAGCAAAGACGAGGACTGTATCATATTTGAGATTTCCGCTAACCTATCTCTATCCGCCTTCACTCTCTCTTCCATTCAATGTCCAAAATGAATGTTCAGATGCTCATTTGCACGTAGAAAACTTGTGTGTACACTTTGAGACAAACAGTCTATTTTTCTTTGTGCTACCTGGTCAAGATCATCTAGTCTCTCTCAAAAGTCACGTCTCTATTTATACAAAAGACTTCGTTCTCATATAAAAGGCAATGTGTTAGAGGTGAATTTTATTTTCTTCCTTCTTGCCTGATCATCTCTTCATCTAAAGTTTCACAAAATATCTTATCTGAGCAACACTTCCACTTATCCATATCCATTTTAGGCATGAAGCTGCTGGTCTTCATAACAGGCCTTTTCGTACTTGTTGCCGCTCAACAAGATGATACTCCACCTGATGTACTCACTATCTACAGCCTCATCACCGGTGGTGAAGAACCCAGAAATGGCAAAGACAACTATGATTTGAGCACCGGAAATGAAACTGATATACTTGGTATGCCAGAGGAAAACTCAGAAGACTTCAACGAACCTGAGCCTCGTGGTCCACCCAATGGTGCTCCACCAATGAGACCATCACACCCAAAGCCTTTCGGTCCAACAGAATCTATGCGTAGACCAGGACCAGGAAGATTCCCATCAGGACCAGGAAGATTCCCATTCGGACCAGGCAGATTCCCACCCGGACCAGGCAGATTCCCACCAGGCCCAGGAGGAAGATTCTTCCCTGGACCAGGAGGACGATTCCCACCAGGTCCACGTCCATTCCCACCAAGACCTCGTTTAGAATGCGGCCAATGGAATGATTGGCAAAAGGTAAATCTGCAAACCTGAATCTTACATAAACTAACCATTTAAGGCATCGTGTTTCTGGCCTAACCAAACTTTGGATGAGCTTCCATACAATTGTAGAGTTGTCCCAGTGAAGGATAGTTGGCCAACATATCTTAAGAAGGTAAGGCATAAATGAGATTTTCAAAAAAAAACTTTTTAAAACTTGTTTTCTTAAATATTTGCTAACCGCCATCCATTGGTCAATACGCAAATAAGTTGAGTCGAAGTTTGTTAATGTACAAATATTGTTACAGTTCGTTGAAGCCAAAGTGGTCGAAGGTTTCAATATTATTGTTGATGAATTCAAAAGACGTGGAGCACCAAAGCTCTGTGGTTTCTGTGCTCGTAGTTTCGAATGCCGCTTGAGAAATGAAACCCGTTCATCATCTCGATTCTGCCCGTATGTCTTCGCAATTTTCGAAGTTCACTCATCCGAGAATGTTTAGATTGAAGGAAGTGCGCCCTGTCGATGAAGAGTGTGGTGACAACGACGCTTGCGTTATCAGTGAAGAGAAGGGTGGCTGTCCACCACCTTTGTTCCTTCATAAGCCTGATCGATTGGATAATCTGAGGGACATGATTCAAAAGAAACAATACAAGGTAGAGATACCTTTAATCGGATGTTCAAACATTTGAAACTTCTTTCAGAAATTCGCTGCCCATCTTCTTCAAATGCAGAAGTCTGATGTCGACGGAAAGCCTGAGAATATCAGATTCAAAAGAGCTCCTGGATTCGGTAATGACTACTCATCTACAGATTTGGCTTTCTTCAACCAAATGATGGAAGCTGCCATGTACGACGGAGATTTCAATCAGAGAGATATGCCTTTCGGCCTAGGCCAGGGATCTCGACCTTCCCAACGGTTCGCTGGTTCTAACTTCGACTTCAATGGACCAAGACGTCCTTTCAATAGACATGGATTCCATCAACAAGGTTTCAATCCTTATGAAAACTCTATGCCTCAGAGACCACAAAGAAATGGTCCTTTCTCTCACAACAGCCAGGCAGGCTCATTCGCTGCTCATTACCCACAAGGACCACGTCCTTATGGAGGTCCAGAAGGCTCTGAAGGACGTTTCTCTCCATTACAAGACTCTCCATTCGCCTCAGCTGGTCGACCAGGACATGCCGGACTTGAAAATCGTATGGGATCTCGCAAACAACGTAGAGAACAGCCATTCGAGCCTTTCGAGATCAGAAGAGATGACGAAGATGGTTTCAGAAATACCGAAGGATTAGGTCCAAAATCATTCGGTCCAAGACCATTCGGACCCGGTCCACACAGCCGTTTCCCCTCTCCTCATGGACCACGCGGGCCAGCTCCATTCGGACCCAGACCGTTCGGACCATCTAATGACTTCCCATTCCCACAAGGACCAGAAGGACCCCGTGGACCAGCTCCATTCGGACCTAGACCATTCGGACCTAGACCATTTGGACCATCAGATGATTTCCCATTCCCATTAGGACCAGAAGGACCTCACGGTCGTCGTGGACCAGCTTCATTCGGACCCAGACCATTCGGACCTAGACCATTCGGACCTGGACCATTTGGACCATCAGATGATTTCCCATTCCCACAAGGACCAGAAGGACCACGTGGACCATCTCCATTTGGACCAAGACCATTCGGCCCATCAAATGATTTCCCATTCCCACAAGGACCAGAAGGACCAGAAGGACCACGTGGATCTCGTGGACCTCGTGGACCTCAAGGAGCTCGTGGGCCAAGACCATTCGGACCTTCAGATGACTTCCCATTCCCACAAGGACAAGACGGATCAGAAGGACCTCGTGAATCTCTTAAGCCTCGTGGACCTCAAGGCCCTCGTGGACCAAGACCATTCGGACCTTCAGATGACTTCCCATTCCCACAAGGACAAGACGGACCAGAAGGACCTCGTGAACCTCGTAGACCTCGTGGACCCCAAGGACCAGAAGGACCTCGCGGACGTCGTGGACCAGCTGGTCCATTTGGTCGTTCCGACGATTCCCCATTCGGAGATGATGATGTAAGACCATCTGAAGGAAAGCCTCCAATGCCATTCGATAGATCTCTAAGAGGTATGGCTTTCGGTAGACGTTTCGCTAGAATGCCATTAAATGGAACCATGAACTTCTCCAATGACAGACATCAATTTGAAGCCATGAAGGTTGCTATGTTCAACCATATGCGTTTCCATCAGCAAAACACCGAGAATGAGAGACCAGGCTCTCCAGATGGTTTAATTGATAAGGATATGGAAATGGAAAGCCGTATGCTTCTTGCCAATCTCCTCCATGGAACTACATGTGCCAGTGTAAACCACACATGTCTCTGTTGTTGTAATCATTACGTTCCAAACGTAGAAACAGGAAAATGCGAAGATCTCCGCAAGTTGTTGCCAGGAATTGAAGATGCCTTAGACAATATGGATGAAGATGGTAAGATCATCATAAAAAGCAAATAACTAACTTTCCATTCAGAATCATCTTCCCGTCAGCCAGCCAGATCTACTGCATTCGAGATGAAGAAAAAGCCCATGAACAAGCAAAATCCAATGCAAAAGATGGAAAAGCCATCCTTTACGTCAGATTTTTAAATCCAAAAAAATGTGAATAGTCTATAATTGAATATTGGATAGCTTACTGTGAACCCACCTACATCCCCATCAGTTGTCAGTCCACGAAACCGGTATCACTTTATATTGTTAATAATAATAATAAGGATATAAATAGAATATTGATATAATAAATCATGTCTTTACATCCTCATCATGTTTTACGATTAACATCATGTGCTGCTTCTTGGAGGGATTGTTACATTAATTTTTTGTCCAAATGGATGCTTCCCAAGAATGCTTAGAAACAGATGCTTTTAGTGTTTCTCAAGCTAGCGAATAACAATATTGAGCTCGAAATACGAAGACATGGGTTATACACGGTCATGAGGGAGAAACGTTTTCCTACACCGCAACCTTTTGAATGATTTATACCTGAAAAGCGTTGACAATAGCAGGACGGCAACGGAAAGCTAAAATTGTCTCAAGCCCCCAAGTTATTTTTCAGTCTGAAACCTTATTATGAGATCACCTGTGTTCAATCCTTTTAGCTTGGTGAACTTACTGGGAATCGTAAGTTATAAAACTACACTTTAACTTTAAACCCAGTAAAATTAAGATTGTGAACTTCGCTTCCGTATTGGCGTGCGGCTTACACTGGTCTAAACATGGCGACATCAATATACAACTCTTTCATAAGGTGATCTTTATCGTCTGAAAAATACCAAGTTTTCATTCAAGAGTTATATATGGCACTCACTACTTCTGGTGTTCTTGTTCCTCTCTTTGGCGGTGATGCTCATTATGTTTGCCTTAAGTGTCTCCACGAAAGGAACAACTGGACCAATATTAAGAAAGAGAGCAGTACGCATTTACCCCCTAACTCTTGTACATTCATTTCACAGATCATCTTACTAATCTGTATATGCTTCATTTTGGTTATGCTGAGTACGACTATAGAGATAGTGTACATCATAAATGAAGAAAACCATCGTACAGAGAGACACAGACGCATGATCGCAGTTTTGGTAGGGAAATGATTAGCGAATGAAGCGCATCCTAACTATTCACAGATTCTCACGGTTATACTGAACATAATCTTGATAATGCTGATGGTTATATTGGCTCTCTATTATGATCGAAATCAAATCAGTGACTTGACACACCCGTCTACACCTTATCCCAATGAGCCGATGCCATCTAGAGGGTACTCGTATCAACACCCCAATCCAAAAGAAGTAAGTTATTAAACTAAATAAAATTATAATAATCCTGATCCCATTGCTCTGAAACGCAACAAGAATGCAACCGTCCTGTTCGTCCGTACTCGTCAAAATAAATTTTTCACCTGTCAGTAACAGGCGGCATTTCTAAGCATAACTGATAACAGTTATCGATAAGGAAGATCTCGAACTAACAACTGAAATTCTTGTTAGGCAATAATTAACTTTCAGATAAGCGGCGAAAAACTCACACCGGAACAAAGAAGATAAACACTTCAGAATATATTTTAATACATCTTATTATATTATACTGATTGAGAAGATTGATGAAATTTGTACAAACTAAATTAAGCATTTTCCGTCAGACCTCTTCGGTCTTTCTGCGAAATGACTACGATTCACTTTTTTCCTGTACTTTGGTGCAGGAGGAGTATAAGAGGTAACTGTAAACATAGTTAGTTATATGCGGAGAAATAAACTCAAAACCAACCTTTAAGATCAGCACAAAGATTCTCATCGTGATGAAACTGGCGAGACTCACAAAGCATGTGGTTTTTGCATTTGGTGTCACATGGAGTTATACCATCAAACTCATTACGGCGGTAACGATTCCTAGAAAGTGATAGTGGAATTCTCGCACTCTTTGAGAACAGAATAATTTGCAACTTACTCTCTGTATTTCTTGAAAAGATTGTCATCTGTCTTCATACGATTAAGCATCTTGTTGTATTCAGTAGGAGTTTGACCGAGAAGACCTTAAGAACAATAAAGATCAAAATGAAACTATACACTTACCGTATTCTTGATTGATACTGGCGAATAACTGCTCCCAAACAGGCTCATTATTAGGATCTAAGTTGGCAGTTGTCATGTTCAAAAACCATTCCTCATAATCAATTACTTCCTGAAAAGATCGTTTACTCAATATCCTCACATATCAACTCTCACGAAAGTTGATTTATCATGTTTTCCATCTACAGTATAGATCCTATAAGCTGGGTTGTACTCGGAGAATGTTGTCACGGACGGAGCAGCATATACAACACCAGTAGGTCGGGATGTGGCATCCTAAAAAGATAATTGCGTTTATTCGGTTTCACTTTATAACATTACATTAGGATCCTCATAAACCATATAGAAAGCATCATGGTGAGTATGACCAAAGAACTGTGCACTGATAGTGTTTTGGAACCTGGCAGGAAGAGTTGCAGAATGATAACGTAAGTTTTGCTACCTATTTGTAACTTTATAATAATTTAAAGCGTATCCCTCTCTAGCTTCACTATCTCCTCCAGGTATATGTGAGACAACATGAACCTGGAAAGTTCATTTTCGGTTAATCCAGACATATACAAGCGAATTTATTACTACAAACCTTATCACCAGCATTTTCTGCGTCAAGCAACTGCTCTATCACCCATGCCATTGTACCATCTGGATCAGTGTCATTAATGGTCAACCAACTGAAAGTGATACATTTCATAATAATTACTCTTGTCATATGCAAATCATCCAGAACACACTTACAAGTTTACGGCATCTCCACCTAATGGATTGTTCAGAGATAGTAGACGTAAGCCGGGGAATAACTTGACCATATAGCACCCCATACTAAACGACAAGTTCTTAGATGGTCTTGAGGGACACCAGCTTACTATTTCATAACTTTCATTTGATCACTAGGTATCCAGTTCCAAGACTCTGCCATAGTATCGTATAACCAGTCCATATGGAATTTCTTTGGTGTATAATGAGGAGCGAAACTAGCAAAGAAAACAAAATTAAATACAGTTTACTGTCGAGCACTCACTTATCTATCGGAACGCCTTCATGATTTCCAACAGCGAAATAAGTGGGAATGTCAGGCAATTGTCTGAAAGAATCGGAGATTATCGGAAACAGTTCTATTATTACTGTTTGATTGTATCTGAAATGTTCTTCACCATTGCCATGTGTGAATCTTGAGTATATTCGTAGACAGCGTGAGACACAAGATCACCAGATACAACTATATAGTCAATCTAGAAAAATATGCTCGTTACGATGAATCTAAAACTATGCGAACATCTGTATGCTTTTGTCGGATGAACTTGAGCATGCTCTGGAAAGTCCAATATGGCAAATCGCAACTAGCAATTGTGCCCCAAGGACCGGCTGGGTTTGTGATATTCACAGCGAGCGACACTTCTTGAGGGTTGTCGGGATATCGACAGCATAAAGGTTCGTTACAGTCAGCTTCTTGACCAATCACATATTGAGTATCCAAGTGAATATCAGTCAAATGAAGGATCTTAAGGACAGGGTTTCCAGGCTAAAGAAACGATACAGTGTGAAACATAAATCTGGCAAACCTGGATCGGATTTTTCACAATAGGAGTAGGTTGGTTACCAGGTATAGTAATATTCCAATCAACTCTCAGAGGGTCTATGAAAGTCCCACAATCTGAGAAAATGGAGAAAATTACTGAAGAATGTTAGAAGCGCTAACCAGCCATAATCAGTCCACAGATTTGATGAGGTTCCACTACGACCTGACCTACCACATAGACGAACTCATCCTGAATTTTCAAATCAACACCGTCTGATATCGAAACTCTACCGCAAACTCTCCAACAATGTGGTCGCAAACAAAGCTATCTTCGATCTTGAATTCTTCGCATATGAATATGGCAGTTTCAACTACAATTATGAGACTGCCATGGTACTTGGTCTTGAACCTACTTGTGCAATCCTCGGTAGAGTTCTCTCCCCATTCATGATGGAGTAGATTTACAGCTACTTCGCACTCCGAACACCTTTGAGACTTGGCATCTACAATTTCAATTAACAAGGATTAGTGGAAGGGATCATACCAGAGGTGCCAATTCCAGAAGTAGCTATCAGCAGGAGAGAAATCCAAACCAGCATGGTCTGAAGATTATTGAAGAATACAAAAAGTAATTCTTATCTACCAAAATACTGATACGGTAACCAGCGGCAATTAAATAATAAAATTTTAATTGCCAAACAACTTAATAAACCATGAGATTCCCTAGCGCGAGAGTAGATGCTGGATATTAAGACATAAAAGCAATGATTGATAGATAGAATGTACCTGCTCGGAAATGTTTTACCCTTCCACCAATCTCTTCCAATAAAGATTTATATTCCATGATAGGGAGAGGCCGAAGGACTTTCTAGCATCTTCATTACATTGCTTTAAAAGCGCAAACTTTTACGAAAGCATAAGCGACAATCTCTATCAGCAGCATTCATTTATTTGTTCTGCTGATTTAGACGGTCGCATATCTTCCGGATTTAAAGCTTAACATTTTCGAAACTTTCTTTTCGTATGAATAAATATGCATCTCAATACACAAGTGATAAGCAACTTTCAGAACCTGGAAATGAATGTTGTGTCATCTATAGCTCTACTCATCTTACTTATCACCCCAGGTAGTTTTTCTCGAATTTCTTTGAATATAGTTCTTCGTCTTCAATCTTTAGTGGCTTCTCAGATAATGTCTGCAGTTTGAAATAGTTTAATGGTTTTATGATCAAAGAAAACCACGTGCGAGATAAAAGACCTAAATATACACTCAATTTGAGAACTAAAACTTATGAAATACTGCAACTGAGATTGTACTTATTATTTCAGCGACTGTTCTATCGAAATCTCAAAAATGTGAGGAATGCGAAGTATCTGTTGAATTAATTCATAGAGATTGGGGTGAAAATGTTACGGAAGAATGCACAGGTACCCAATAGGTAAACACAACTCATCTATCACATCTCAATTCTAACAGCTGAGTTAGCCATTTGGGTTTGTGAAGCATTCAAAATAGAAGATAACTTCATATGTGATGGTATAATAGGTGACTTCCAAGTAACACTCCCTGTCACAGGCACTTTTAACTAGAAAACATTAAGGATGAGTTCATGTATGTGGTCGGGAAGATCATAGTAGAGCCTAATCAAGTCTGCAGCTTACTGATTGAAGGTTCATCCAACATATTAAAATAGACCAATTTAAATTAAGATTGTGGAACTTTCTTTGACCCCTTAAACGTGACATGGAGGTTACCTATGCCCCCCAACAAGCCTACCCCTGTTCCCAAAGAGACTGTTCTAGTAAGTGACAAGACAATTGCTTCACTAATACAGAGTCATTAAAGCCTGGAAATCCTACATTAACAGTTCTTCACCTCACTGATTTACATTTGGACATGTATTATACTATCGGAGAAGAAGCAGATTGCGCAACCCCTCAGTGTTGCAGACCTCAAAATTCCCCTTATGTAACATCTACAACTAGAAAAAGAACATAACTCTTACTTAATACAGGAGCTGAACCAGGCCGACTCCATCAAGCAGCCAGCAGGCAAATGGGGTACAGTTGGAAATTGTGACGCACCTTACTGGCTACTGACTAACATGTTGAAAGATATAAAGTCGACATACCCTAAGGTTAGTATAACCGAATAGCGCGCATTTCTGGGAAAAATTGAATTTACGGCGTCATTATTATTCTAATTGATGCCACGTACGCTTCACGTGAAACGTGGCGTCTCTCAAACATTCAAACATGACAACTGACTGCTTATTCCAGTAATAGTATAATAACAAGAATTATAAATTATCTTTTACATGTCACTCATGTTTTCATGAACTTTTGAAGCCAACTAGATACCGAAAATCAGTTGATGACGAAGAAGGCCTTCTTATGTTTTCAGATGAGAACGCATGTTTCGAAGTTTTTCACAAACATAAATATAAATTTTTCAAAACAAGCTTTATAGCACGGACATCTAACGAAAATATAAATTTCGGATAAAACATGGCTTGGGAAAAACAAAATTTTCGAACATGTCTAGCCTTTCAAACTATAAATCGCGCAACATTGGCAGAATTGATAGGCGATTGAGACAAATGTTTTCATTAATCTTGAGAGTTTGTAAGCATTCCTTATTCCTCGTTGAAATCCACTCCTCGTAAACAGATGAACAACACAACGTGAAACATATCAGTTAACAAGCAAGAATTGTATAAATAATTAAATATGGAATGCAACCGCTCTACGCAGATAAAATGGCAAAATTAACGTGTCGGCTTTGCGTAAACAACTTTTCGCAACAGCGCGAGATTCATCCGTGGTCCAACAGATCTGATGACAACAAATTCAAATTACAGATTGATTACATTATGGTGACAGGGGATATAATGTCTCATGCTGATTGGAACTACACTCCTGAAACCCACGCAGCTATGATCAGAAACGTTTCAGCTACAATCAAATCGTTTCGAAAAGCTTGTGTTATACTAATTCACCTATAAGTTCAGATTTTTCCCAGGCTTGAATGTCTTCTTCTCGGTTGGAAATCATGAAGGAGTTCCCATTGATAAGTAAGTTTGTCTAGAATATTGTCAATATTTGGTTCCCAGCATTGCACCTCATTCCGTGCCCAAGAAGTACCATATGGACTGGCTATTTGAGGCTATCGCCGATAGCTTTGAAACCTTCTTGCCAAACGATCAGATGAAGATGGTCAAGTAGTAAGTGCCAATATCCAAATATGATGACATCACCTCGCTCTTCTAGCAACGGTTGTTATATGATGAATCTGTATCCAGGTTTTCGTATAATTTCATTGAATAACGTATATGGTGATCAAATGAATTTGTGAGTTTTTGATGATAATCATGTCATTTGAAGTTTCGTATTCAGCTGGCTATACATTAATCAAACGGATCCCGATGGAACCATGCAATGGCTGATTAACCAATTGTCAGATGCTGAACGGGCTGGAGATAAAGTAGGTCATTTGTGAAAGTTGTTTATGTAATTCAAATCCGACGAGAGTTTCGTATTCAGGCTTTTTCTTGAGCACGTGCTGAATTAAGGCGTCTCGCCATAAAAGCACAAAATAAATTAAAAAAGCGTGGGCATCCCGAATCACATGTGACAAGTAGCTTGTCGCATGTACTTAGAAACTGATCACATTTCACGTAAATTTCGATTCCTTTGAACACACTTTTCACACGAACCAAGCTTAAGCGTAGGAGAGATTGAAATCGTAGTGGAGAACTTGGAGAGCGTCGTTCATCAGGTTGTAATGTTTGTTTTCAGGTCCATATTCTATCGCATATTCCCGGCAGTAATCATGAATCTCTTGAAGGTTGGGCTCTCAACTATTATAATGTCGTCAATCGGTTAGTTTTTGTCTGTCATTCCTCCTTCACTCGGACATATCCACAATACCTAAAAGAACAAACACCAGAGATCAGACAAATTGATGAACGAATGAGAATTCTCGAAAACCGATCTACCTGACAATATTCTGTCGTGAATATCAGATTACTAGGACGAAATGCGTGTTCGCTCAAACTGATGATTCTGATTGATTTTTCTGAATTCCATGCGAGCGCACGCATAGATTAGAAACAATTTTCTCGGAGAAGCATTAGGAATTCTTTCCTCTCTCTCCGTACTCGACTTTGACTTCTCTCTTCCCACATCTAATATTTTCGAGTAAAAAATACAGGCGCAACAAGTTTTTTTTTTTTTTGCAGATTCGAGAACACAATTGTCGGCCAATTCTTTGGACATGTGCATTCAGAGGAATTCTATATGATTTATGAAGACGCGGAAGTACGAGCATCATTCCATAATTGGAACACAAAAATTAATTGACATAGAAATCCTCAATTTCTTTTGCAGAATTCAAAATCTCGTCCGACTGGTGTTGTTTATGCAGCTCCTTCCCTCACAACATACTCGGAATATTATCCCGCTTATCGTGTGTACACCATAGATGGGCGTCATACAAACACTACATATGTAACTCCGAAAAAAAAAAGAAAAGTTGTAAACGTCTCTCATTTTAAGCAAGTCATTGACTTCAACGAAAGATTCCTGAATCTTACCAAAGCAAATAGTAGTCCTGGAGATCCCGTTTGGGAGTACTTATACGAAAGTGTAAACTCTGAATATGGTTAGGCATCATTGCTGTTCTTTAAAAAACGATCATTCAAATGGATAAAGGCTAATTCCTGTTAGTTTAGGCTTAAATGACCAGACGCCTTCTGAATGGAATCATCTCATTGAGAGGATGAAGGCGGACAACACTTTGTTTAATAAATATCGCAGGTTAGACCATCAGTACTTCCGTTTAGAGACGTGTCATTTGAAGCCATGTCAAGAGAAAATGATATTTTCGACTAAAAAAGGTTCAGAGTACAATGAACGCCTCTCTATTTTGGCTATGATAAAGGCTATGGGGATTGTTCTCCTCTCTCTCTTTCCCCTTCCCTCTCTCTATCTCTCTTCGAGTTCTACAATCTATTCGTTCTGAACTTACTCGACCAAATTATTTTCAAAAAGAAATATACGTTGTTTGACGATTCTCCGAGTTACTTTAGTTTCTTCATTCATCAACATCTTGCAGAACTTATTAGTTGAAAGTTTTCTCCTCTTCTTCGGAACTTCAACCTTTCGAATCACCAAAATCATATGTTGAACCTCGTTTGTTCTTAGAATTACCTTTCTCTGGGGGAAATGATGTCATGCATCCACTGATAAGGTATCATATTTTTGCAAGAAATTAGATGGATAACCACAAAAATAATGAAAAATCTCTTTAAAACTTCGATTCTTCTGCTCTCGCACATGATTGCTGATCAGATTAGATCATTCTGATCAATACCTCTGATTCAACTGTAAGTCACGAGTAATGCATGTGAGAAACTATGATCTTCCAAGTGCTCCCCTCTCCTTTCCCTTTCCTTGCTGCCGAGATGCCCATTCATTGTTTCAAGTGAAGTCCGAGCAATATATCTCGAAACATTATGATGAATGCTCGGATTAGCTGATCTTTAACTCAGCACAGAATCATCTGTGTCACTGCGTCCACCATCAGTTTAGACGGAAGGGATTAAGCAATCAAGAAAAAACTTCTCAAGGCTTCGTTGTATTTGCTTCCCATATTTCTCGACTGTCGCATCCTCCCATCCATTCTCAAAGCACCGATTCTTTTCATTTCTGAAAAACATGACGTGACTGATATGGCTTTTACTTGCCTCAGCTGCATTCCAAACATTCTCAGAAGCTCTCGAAATATCACAAGAATTCAGAAACTTTTATCGACGAAACAATTTCGATGGAGTTGGTCCCTGTGATGAGGACTGCAAGAAGGATTGGTTATGTAGCGCGCGCCAGTTCCACCACAGTGCGGCCCTATGTTCTGATCTAGGTAATGTTGAAGTGTGAAATCATAGTGTAGTCTAAAAACGGCCCACAACCCATAACTGATAACGCTTTTCATTTCTTTTCAGGCGTCTCCGCAAAACAAACGACCTCAACTGTGAAGCAGTTATCGACCAGACGCAGGAGTTCCAAATTAGCAATCAAACCGCCGACACGCCAACGAAACGCAGACTGTCGCATATAAATAGAATCGACACACGAAAAGAAACATGTATAAGCACAACAGAAGCATTATCCTCAATAAACTTTATTAGAGCTATCATTTGAAAATATATAATTGACTGGAATTGATCGTCGCGTGTAAATTGCCGGTGAAAACATGCACAGTTTAAACGAGAACGAGAAATGGAGAAGGAAAGCTGCCAATGAAGAAAAACTATGAAATATTAAATGATTGCAAAAAACAGAGATCCGTCATTGGAAAAGAAACTATTTCGAGCTACTGTAACATATTTCCATTTTCGGTCAGAAGCCAGACAAGACACTCAACAGCTAGACACACAAGTCCAGGATGCAGAGAGACTTGTTCGTTTCTGACTAAATCATTCCATTCAATTTGTGAAATTTCCAATTTAGAGGACAAAATTCATACATGATTAAGTCAAAATGATCTAGCAATGAGGAAGATAAAAATGAGTATAAAAGAAAGTGAACTAGATTGTCTTCGACATTATTAGGTTATTTACACGATAAACTTTCATCCAATACATGACCCGCGTCTATAACATTGACAGCTTTTATTTCGATCAGTCAAGAAAGAAAAGCTATGTAGGAAACCCGCTTAAGCATTTGAACCTTCGATTTCATTATTCTCTATCGATTTAAGGAGATCAAGGTAGAGTGAATCCTTAAGGAACCTATAAATGAGACGTTTAGTAGTCATTCCGCAAATGGCATTGTCATTACCTCCTATAAGAATCTTTCTCCATCAACTGTTCGATACGGGATTGAGCCAAGAGGAATGTGTCAGTTTTACAGCCACTTTCCAAAGCAGCCTTTGTAGCAGCTCGTGTATCAGAATCAAGATTAACCTGAAAATCAAAAAATGGGTTATCGGTGATAGAGCCAGAGGGAGAGAGAGGAAGGGGTATGGAGAGGTTTTATTGTCTGAATAATCATCATATGAGTCTTCCCCGGGCACAAAAAAAGCAGAAATGATGAAATATGTAGTTTCATAAGGTGAGATTAAGAGTGGTTCAATGACAACACTCGACTGATGTAGTCATTCTGTCTTCGACAAATAATGCAAAGACTGATAAGGTGGCAACTAAACTAAGCAAAAACTCCCGAAGTTTAAAATTAGATTTTTCGAATCAATAGGTCCCGCACCCTTGTTTATCATATTAACTGGTTGGTATATGGGAGGAGAATGGGAAATAAATAAGAAGAAAACAAACCTCTTTAGGAGCCTGCTCCGCTACATATTCCCTATAGATCTCGTGAGCTCTCTGAGTTGTGGCTTTCTTGCCTTCTTTCATTTTTCTGAACTCTTCACAGTCTTGCCAGAAATCCACATTCTCATCCGAGAACTCCTTCTTAAGAAACTGTCGGAAGAGGGAACATCCATCTGAAAGAAAACATTATTTTCAAAATATCTGTCGCTATTCTTACGTTTGTGATTGAGTAAAGCTTCAAAGCATGTTTCCCATTGGCGAATTTCCTCTTTCGATGCGTACAAAGACGTGGTTGAAAGAGCAGTATCCATTTTACTCCGAATGTAACTGATCGTCTTTGAGATTGGACCACTGAAAAAGCAATCAATAAGAGAAAGTAGAGAATGTGGAAGTCGGAGCAGTTCAAAGAACTTGTAGTTTGTTTACTAATTTCGATATATTTTGTACTTTCCTTTGTCATTTACGGGTATGAAATGCTTTTTGAAAGGAGAGTAGTGGAAGGACAATGACAAAACATCTTATAAAGTCAAGAAGCGAACCTTTGGCCATCTACATGCACGGTGGCAACAAAATCAACCATCAGGTGATGGGCCAAGTGGAAAACTTCCTCAGAATGCTTATTAGACTGCTTCATTTTCGGACGAGAAGTACAAAGTAGGAATGAAGAGCGGAGAGTTTGATTCAAAACGAATCAGCACGGAGTGCTGCCGGTGAGGCCAACTGAGCTAATCAGACAAAAGAGATTTCTTTTCACTGCTTTTTGTAAGCTTATCAGTGCACTCTCAAGAAAAGGGAGGAGACAGGTAGAATGACGAGTTTTTCACCGCAAAATGCACCAGCAAAGAACGATTTAGGAAATTTGAATTTCGAAAATACGGGAAACTAACCAATGCTGAGAACGGCAGTTGATGCTGAGAGAGCCATTAGATTTGCCGAAAAGGCCGAAATGTCTGTTACCAGGAAGGACTAGCATCGTATGAATCGTCAAAACGGGAGTAGCACGAATAAATTGAAAGCTATGACAGAAGCACACAGGAGACTGGTGAGCTCTCAATGAAATGACTTCCTTATATGGGAGAGATAAAACCAATTAGCCGCTTAACGCGCCAGATGCAAGATTAGATAGGCTCAGGCGGTTCAGGCTTGCAAAAGAACTGAACTTTCCCAGTCTCCATAACCTCCGGTGAAGTTATGACCAGACGCTATGTCAAAGAGTTACAGTGTTTCTCGTGATGGCAAGCCTGAGAAGTAACAGTCTCCCATAAAACGATCTGTATAGTTACTGGTTTACAGCTTATAGTTTCTCAGAAACTTATTTATGGTCTTATAAGTTCACAAGTTCATGACAACACGAGTTATAAGTTCAAAGACCCTGGTGAAGTCTATAACGAGGACAATTACTAAGCAAGAGCTTCTGCCATCCTTCAATTCTATGAAGACTCTTGTCCCTTAAATCTCAACAACACCTGCACCAAGACTTATAAAGTTCAAGTCGGTCATAAGAGGGAATTTCAGAGATTGAATCAGTATAAGAGAAACATTGTTTCTATTAACGAAACACATAATTCATGCTTCACTTGTCTCTTTGTGTGACAAGTGAACTCTATTGGCCGCCCGCGCTGAAACTACTTGAACAGTTAGAAGAGCCAACAGACATACTGCACAGAGCATTTCATAAACTTAGAATTTTGCGAAGAAAGGAAATTGAAATGCAAATGTCCGTTACTTTGGCACCCACATTCAGTGACATGCTCTCGACAAACACGAAAATATAAGCAAATCTTATAAAACAACCATAGTTTTTGATTCGATGGAGTAGTGTAAGGTTGTTGGCACATGCCGATATTGCTTTGGCAAGTCCATCAAACGATACCGATCACAAAGTGGCAGCTGACGATATAGCAGTCACGACAAGGCCGTCGTTGGATGGGAGTGTGATAGAAACGAAGACGTCGTCTACAGAGAGTTGAGGAGGAACCACGAGCTGAACCAAACATAACACACACACACACACTCACAAGTATGGAAGTCGTATTCCCAAAATGTGAGTTAGTTCCAAATATGTTGAAGAGGCGTTTGTCGTTCAAAAATAATGTGAAACAGAATGTGTGGCTGAAGGCATAGAACTCAAAGGTTCCTCATACGATCAGCTTCAAAACATGGCAGTCCCGATATTGTCCATCCAAATATGGAGCAGAGACATGAACTTGAATCTTTCATGTGCAAACATTTTTCTATTACTTAATTGATGGCGTATGTCACAATAAATAAACCACAAAGAGTTGAAAGTCAGTGAACAAAACACTTAATGATTGTTGACTTCTTGCAACAACAACGAGTATCTGGAAGACCTTTTTTTGATCCTTTTGAACATTCATTTATCTTTCGTTAGTCCAAATATTTGGAGATAACGTGCAACTCAAAACTATTTAAGTCTCTCTTATAATCAACAAGAACGTTAGAGACTTGACAGCTGGGTTCGAAGCAGAGTCCAAGTTTCAATAACACAGACCAAACGAGGAACCATGGACGCCATTGAATGTAATGAAAACTAGGAAAAACTGCAGAAATGCGTCCAGTTGTCATCGTCTATGCTTGTCTTAAGCTTTGCCTCGAGATTGCCATATATCTCGTGAGCCGCCTAATCGTAGTTCGAGTACCGGTACTATATTTTTCTTTTTCGTCATTAAGTAGATTTTAGATTTTAGCAAGAAGTTAGATGTTTTTACCTAGCAAGATAAAGCCAGGTGCTCTCATGAAAATTGAACAGGGACCAGAATTTGCACAACAGAAGACTAGTCATATCTCATTGAGGTTGAGGCGCTAACAACCTACATCACGGAAAGCAAGTGGAGAGAGAGCCTACGTGATCAAGATTGTGAGTAAGATCAGAAGATGTGATTTGAGAAAACAGAACGACCAAAAGCAGAACATGAATGTACACAAAACCTGCATGAAATATTGATTAAGGCAAGAAGGTCGTATTGCTAACGAGCATGAGAGAAACATCTCGCGCCATCGTGCAACATAACACCGCAACGGCTACTCCAACACGAATCAAGCCTTATGTTTATGAGATTCATGAAACAAGTAATTTTTCCCCTAATCACCACCAGCTTGATTCACACTGAATGCAGGCAAAGCGTAGAGGCGTTGCAAGAAAACAATTAACATCCTAATCTTGCATCAGGAAGATATTGGGGAGTAGCAATGAGCAAGAAAAAACTACTCCATTTTTCAACTGGCTCTCTTACTAAAGCAATAAACACATGTTTATTGAGAGAATTCGAGAAATGAGAAGCTGTGAGTAAGGAACGTCAATGTCCTCATTCAATACTTTTATATTTGACACTTCGTCTTTCAACTTATTAGGAAAACATCTGACACAAAATGTAATTCCGGAAAGCGCGTGGAAAATTTTATAAAAATGAGAATGTAATACCTATTAGCGGGCTCATCTCCCATTTCACGGACTGAGGACCATTTTTGTACGCGTCTAGGAGGAGTCAGAGGTAAAGGAACACTGATTTTCCTTCGTATATCCATATTTGATAAGGAAAATCACCAATCAGTACGTGATTGAGATTTGTGAGGGAAGCGGATGAGTCGGTCTCAACCAATAGAATAACAGGAAACTAATTTATAGATGCGAATAGCAGATGTAAATGACAGAGAAGTTGCAACAGATTATATTAGAGGTCAACAGACTGGGCGGTTCACTTAATGAAGAGAGTTTGCCAAAGTGACCGAGATAGAAAGGCTGCCAGAAAGTCAAAACACAGACAGTTATCTCTCTCTGAACCAACTAAGGCTACTTAGTTGAATACGAATAAGTCCGAATAAGAGTAGTAGGATGCAGGAACAAGACCCAGTCAGCCAAAGCTGAGAAGCAAGCCAGCAAGCCACACAGCAGCAAGCACAAGCCAGGCAGACAGAGGAGGAACGCACGCGGAACTCCGCCCCCTCATCCACCTCATTCGATAAAAGTTAACCAAATTAGAAGATGAGCGTTCATCAATGCCCATAAAGCGGAGCCCTAACTGGCCTGGACAAAAATGTGCACGAGGCCAAGTGAAATAATGATTATCCTCATGTTTGGAGAAGTGGATGAACGAGAGGAATACGTTGGATCCAGATATAGTAAGGGGGATAGACAACAATCTCAGAATACGGGAGTGCTTGTTCGAGAGAGAGAGACTGGCTTGATATAAAACCTCGCTCATTGGATATTCAAAGATTGTAACAAGAAAGAGCATTCGTACTGTAAACCAACACCTTTGCCAATAGTCCCAATGAGATAGTGACAAAGCAAAAATCAAATCACGTAACTCATGAGTAAACAGTGGGCTATGCGAGTTTTGGGAGCAGAGTAACATCAGAAAATTAGAGAAAGCAACTCCGCAGGAAGAACAAGAGTGCAAAGGAGCAACAAATTTGTGATCATCAAGAAGAGATGATCCCACACTACTGAACGAAATAATGTAACTAACCGCAATTTTCTTTTTTCTTTTTCTTCTTCTTTCAGCTTTACTTGAACTGGACGTTTGTTATGTTTTTCGGCAGCACCTCTTGGAGAGAAAGTGAAAGAGGCAGCTCTCCGGACACCCACATCCTTAGTCTGCAGAAAAGGAATTGGAAGGAAGTTCGTATACATAAGAATTACCTTGACGTCAAGTTTATGTTCACTATCATTTTCATTATTATCTACGTAAAGGTAATGGTAATCGGGTTTAGATGGGGCACCACCAAACACGTCGTGTTCAGAGGTTGTAGTGTCACCTGAAAGATTAATATTAGAAACAACAGAGTAGTTGGCAAATAGATTGTATAGGTTTGTCTCTTTCAGTACCCTTTTCAAATATTAATTTATCAACTAACGTTCTTTCGAATCATCATCCGATTCCTTCACTGACGCTAATTTAAAACGTCGAAAGTGAGAATCGAACGAATTCTGGCGACCAACAAGAGTAGAGGATAAGGTTTTCGATAAGCCATGTGAAGATGAGGCAAGAAGAGTTACATCCATAACTTTGACAGAAGTAAATAATCCAAAAACGAATTGATTATTGAATAAATACTTGTCAGACTTAGCCATGGTGAGCTATAAGAGAGAACTGAGCAGAGGAATGATGAGCATTAGCGAGTATAAGTTGGAAGAGGCCAGGCCTGACAGTCAAACATTATGAGGAACATTAGACAAAGATCATTATCGCATTCACACACACAAAAAACGAATGAAGTGAGTTGCTAACAAAGAAAGGAACATGTGGGGAGTGCCAAAGCGCGAACTCAGAAAGTAATTAAAATGAAGACAGGGGTGGGTCGCCAGAATACAGTTCACGCTCCAAAATTCTCAAAAACCATAAATTAAGGAGTCATGTAAATAAAGATCCACAATAAACGACTGGAGAACTAAAAATAGCTCTAAACAACTGATAACAAGGAAACAAAAAACAGTTTCTCGATCAAAGATGGCGATTGAATTGACCCAGGTACACACACTGGGACCCTTTTTGCAAATGAAAAAAAAACAAAACAGGAAGTGAGCAGAGTCATGTTTCATACTTCGTGGTTTCAAAATAAATAAAAAACGAACTTGTGGTAGTGATACTCGGGGCGTTAAGGACGCATGGTAGAGTAGCCCTGTGCTGTCCGTGATATCCAAACTCACTGGCATCTCGTGAGTTGGAAGAGCTGGAGGCAGATGTGTAGTCGTGTACTCGAACATCATCAGCCTTCAAAACAACATAATTTTTGCAGGAAAAGGAGAAGAAGGAGAAACATACCGATGAGTAACCTCCTGGAAGAAGAGAAGAACCAAATGCACGAGAGGCTTTGGCAAACTCCTCCATAGGCATCTAAATGTAAGAGAATGAAGAAAGCTGCTTTAGCACAGAATGAAATGACAAAGGTTCATCAGTCTTGAAGTTTGAAATTTGATAGGACCAGCTGCGATTTTAAAAATTTCATAGCTTGGAATATGCGAATTTTCTAGATGAGCCATGAAAAAGCTTGATGACATGTTAACAAACACAATTATCAGTAATTATCAAAAATAAGATAGGATGGGGCTATATAGACACGGCACAATATGATTAGATGATAGGTCAGAGTCATGAATTTGAGGGCACTTAGAGGTGAACGAAGAAAAAACCGACCGACTTTTAGGAAGTTGAAGCAGAAATGAATGGTTACGGAATTCACGCAGAACAGAATAGCACCTATCGGTTACACAAATAGTTTGACACAAAGAGCAGAGAGAGAGGAATTGAGTAAATGTCTTGCGAACTAACACACAACTGGCATGGACATTAACATTACGTAACGCACGATGCTGACTAATAAGGAAGAACAGCAACAGCATACTCGGAATAATTACATAACTTGCTGACCGGACAGTAATGACGTAACAGATAAGTTTCGATTTAGATTTGCTCAAGTAGAAACGTTTCTCTTAAAAGGGACAAATGGCATGCAGAGGCAAAAACTTTTTTCGAAACTTATGTGTAACAACATGTAATTAGCGGAGAAGAAAATGAGGCAGACGAATTGACAGGAAAGACGGAGTAACGTATTTTGGTAATTTTGATAATCAGCCATATTAGGAGCAGCAAAGAAAAGGGAAAATAACGGACACAAAATCATGGAACGTATTTTAATCCGTCATAGCGAAAAAAAAAAGAAAAAAAACGGAAACTCACATTATATACATGACCGCTCATTGTAAGTATTCAAAGAGAAATAAGGTTAATCGCAAGCGGAAATCAATAAGCTTTGAACGGCATAGATAAGAAAACCCAAGTATGGTCAGCTCTCGTAATGAGAACTAGAGAGTAGAGCAGTTACAAAGGACAAAACAAACGTTATCATTGTGTGGCAAAAATAATAAACATTATTACTACTACTACTACTGGAGATTCAACTCCCAATGAACTTTGTCAGAAAATGAATACAAAGAGAGTACAACTCACCTGTGAAGTCAGATTGCTGGATGAGTAGCTGGCTGTGGTGAGAGCACAGCTCCCACTCAACGCGGGGTCATCGTAAAACTCGGCTTTATTAATCTGAAAAACGGAAATTTTCTCACGTCGACTGTCAGCAGTACAAACTTTGTGTTGCGGCATGTTAGTACGTTGTCCGTCCTTATCGTCGAGGAGGAAAAAACCTCCATCGTTGACCTAAAAAGAAAGTTTATGAAGCAGAAATTGTGAGAAGCAAACTTACAACTACTTCTTCCATAGACATATTTTCGTCATCGAAGCAAGTAGCACTCTGAAATCAATCGATTTTACATTTAAATTTAGATTTGCATCAGTGACGTCATAAAGCCTCCGCTTATTCCCGCCAAAAAAACGCAATCTAAGCGAGAAAAACAAAGACTTTTCAACATTATGATGTTTGCACAGATACTTCTGTTTATTATACTGTACTTACACATTTACGAGCTTTGGCCAGCAGTCTGGAAATCGGGAACGTCATACATCCCAGCATTTTCTTCTTATTAATATTAAATCTGTAATAGACAGACAATAAGTTTGTTACTCATAGGAAAAGCTCACCCAGCGTGCTCTGCACTCATAGCCCACACACAAATGAATAAAGAAGCTCGTCGATGAGTACTTAACTGACTGAAACCAGGAATGATTAACTTATACTCATATATGTTTCCTCACAATTGAAAAACTGTTTTAAATTCCGGCTTATTAGTGGATGGAACTAAATCAGTTCGGAAGCATTGCTTCTCCTTGTTAGATTGTTGAGAATGCTCATTGCGTTCTCGGCGATCGTTGCGATCGTGGTGATAATGTCGCTTTCTGTGCTCATGCCTGTCCTCTTTTTCTCTTGTACGAAGTTCCGCCTATAAATTCAAGTTAGACAAACGGTAGAATGCAACCGATCTGTGATCAGAATATGATGTATGAGTCTATCTCGCAAATTTTTAGATCTAATTGGCTTATTATCGTTCGAGTGTTCCTCTCGTATTTTCAACAACATGAACTAACATTACCTGTACAAAAGAACACACAGAAGGGCCTGATTCCAAAAAGTATACAGCGTTATGAATAGCGACAGTCAACATATTACCAGACATTGTCATGGTTAAAAACATTATTCCTTAAAGAGGATTTAAGTGAAACGGTTTATAAACTCAAAGAAAAGAGGAAAAAAATGAAAAAAAAGTTGAAGGAAATACCTTTAGTGTTTCGATTTTTAGCGTATGCTGCATGCAGTCCGAAGTTCTCTGGTCTGTAATAACCAGAGTTAACTGTTTCGGGGATGGAACGAAGAGAAGCTGCCCGGGTATTATCCCAAAATGACGAGGTGTCCTAGAAGGAAGAAATATAAAACGTTAATATGAGCTTTACACACTGCTTCGGTTCCATAATAAGATTTAGGTCTTTGCTTTTCCATATTAAGAGCTTGAGCATAAGAAGTGGTTAATGAGAAAAAGGGACCACGCCCGGATGATGAGGAACGGGGGGTAGAGCAAACCATGCCGCCACCGAGACGAGGGTTAGTTTTGGGTATTGGGAAAATTTTCTGAAGGTAAGAAAGGTTAGGAAAGAGACACACTCCGAATTCTCACATGTATAGAAGTAGTAGTGGATGTGAGAGTAGGTTGAAAATTTCTTTTTATAAGTGATGGCACAGATGGTGCAACGAACTGATGCTCCGGTCTAACCGGTGAGATATCCTACAATTAATTAATTAGTTAGCACATAATTAAGTAAAGAAAGAACTACCTCGTCCATAAGCAGATGACGAGCGGGTGATCTTCTGCTTCTATTATAGGGAATAGGCGTGTAAAGGTCACTTGGGTCAGTCTATAAACTTTCAATTTCATTTCTTAACTATGCGAAGCGTCAAACCTCATTTGTTTCTGTAGTAGTTTCAAGGTTAGATGATGAATAAGTAGTGGATGAATAAGCATCAATGGGTTGAGAACGAAGCCGATTACGAGCTGCGACACCAAGTGTAGGTCTGAGTGATCTGTAAGAGAAGCTTTGTTTTGATCATTTTAACATGAGAGGTACCTATGATCTCTGTACCTCCTATCAACAACTCTTGAAGATTTCAAAGTTGGACGTATACATGGTTCACTGTCACCGCTATCGGAATCATTATCTTCTTCAGAAGAATCTTGAAAAAGAAATTAATTATCTTTGACTAGCGTGCATGGCATACCTGTTTCTGCCTCATAACCAGGTACATCATATCTCGAATATTTAGAACTATACTGCTTATTTTTCATGCGATACATGCTGAAAAGAGATAAGGATATATATATGTGAAGGAGTCCAAAGTGTGTCGGAAGGAATGAGTCGAATCAAATGACGCTAGATGATTCGTAGAAAAGTTATATAAAAAAGAATATAGAAACAAGGTCGGCATGATAGCACAAGATGAACTGTTTGCTTATCCTCTCCTGAGAACAGTAAAATTGACGATACAATGATATCAGATATTCAAAAGAACAAGTAGAGCAAACAACTAATTTGAAAAAAGAGAAAGATACATCACGAAGGATGATTCAAGACGCTTGGAAAGGAAAACAGTGAACAGCTCTAATTGAGCTCTCAAACGGCATTGATGAGGAAAATCGATAAACAAAACAATATATCTTAGTGTTTGTATGAGAAGGGTCATACTCTGACCTAGAGCACCTTTAGAAAGAGTGAGCCGATTTACAATCGGCGAGACTATGTTATAATTTTCAAAAAAAGGATGTAGTTCCTGATTATTTGTTTCGAGTCATATATGGAAGCAATAAAAATGATGAGGCTTAAAAAAAAACTGAACACGGTGACAAGGAAGAAGTTCACAATCGAGGTCACTCACAGCTGGAGTACAACCGGTCTCACACTTCAAAACTTGAGAAAATGAATTAAGGCTTAACTCATGAAGTACAAGAAACCTAAACTTGAAAGCAAATCAATCAAAATTATAATTTTAATAAGTTGGAGGATTAAAACGCCTGAGATCGCTCTATTCAAATCAAAGGAAGCGGCTCAGACAGTTTCCCGCCAATATTCCCGTTCAAATTTTTGCGTGAAAAGATAGTGCTCTGAGAGAGAGCGCAGACATAAAGAAAGCCACACGTATTAGGAGACGGCGTCCCTTCCTGACAGTGAGATTAATGCATTTTTTTGCTTCTACCCACAGATCAATTTGCATTCAGCCATTAGAGAATGAAGTTTTTAAAAAGGTTTTATTAAGAAAACATTAAAACATAATAGAATTTGTCAACATGATGAACAACGTCAATTCATTATTATTATAATTTTGATAAAACATTCAATATAAAACTCTTCGTTGATATTTCAATCGTTTAAAAAGAAACAAAAATGAGTTTCGTCTTATTCCAAAGCCTTATCCAGGGCTTCCTTGATGTGCTTGAAGGCGTCACGGCCGAGATAATCAGGCTGTCCAGCTTCCCAGGCTCTCAGACGTTCAGTCTCGGATACAGAGGTTCCCTAGACAAATGAACAGATAAAATGTCATATTTACAAGTAGCAATGGAACCTGAGTCTGCGAAACATTAGAAGCTGCACTCGAGTCAGTAAAACACGCTGAGTTACCAAACTACAAACACACGAGAAGGACAGTTATATGACATAGTTTTCAAAAAACACGGCAAGAGCACACAAGAAGAATGGAATTCTCACCTGGGATTGAATAGTTGGTTCTACCTTGCTTCTGTAAATAGCATTCCATTGGCCTAAATGCTCGTTCTGATGAGAAGATTCAGCTCCGTGCCATGGTTTCCTGGCTCCAATGAAATGAACGATTTTGGTTTGTTTTCCGTATCTGAACGAAGTCATTAAATTTTTCTTTGATAACAGTGAAATACTGTTTGTAGGCAGCTGGGTAAGAATAGAAAACTCCAGAAGTCATATTGTAAACGAATGGCAAACGGTGGGCAGCAGGAAGATCACGCCAGTTGGAGAAGTATTGATTGAGTAATCCTTGATCACCTCCATCGTAGGATCCCGAAGAAAGGGCTAAGTCAACAAGATTTTCTGTAGTAACACACATGATACCCTTGTTAGTCTACGATAAACATACGGTAAGTAGTGTTGCTAGGAACAAAAACAAAAACTCCAGAATTGAAACAGTCTGGCCATCCGATGTCGGCAACAGCTGAGATCTCTGGATGATCGAAGAGCTCATCACTATTGTGAAGGACCTAAATGATCTTTTAACTTAAAGGAACTTCGAAGATGAAAACCAATGTGTCAGCATCTAAGAAAACACATTTGCTGTACTGCGTCAATTTCCAGCAGTGCAATTTCGTGAATGTTACACCGAGATCTGGTCTACCAATGAGTGTGAGATTCACCTAAAATTCGAAATGATGAAACAGTCAAAGGAATGAATGATGAAATCCGAAAGACTTACTTGATCATTGCTATTCAAAACATCAACAACAGTAACAGCATCGAATTGAGTTTCTAACTCGGCTCTAACGTATCCAGAAACCTGTAAGGTGCGAACATTACAAATCAATTCTCTTTATAACCAAATATAGACAGTCAACGAACTACACATATCAGTTTTAAAACTTACAGCTGTAGATACCAAGCAATGTAACTTGTGGGTGGTACCACTGTTCTTAAGGGAGTGAGCCAAGACTAATGCTCCGCGAGCATAGTCATCGTTAGTAGCTAATGTAACCCAGGCAGTTGACATGTCTGAAACAAAATTGAAACTTATCAACTGTGTTTGTAAGTTGAAAAAGTATACAAGCAGAGCACAACAAGACGAAAAGATAAAACAGAAGATCTAAGATAAAGAATAAATAGTAGCAGCGGCCAACGCAGCTTCTCTGCAGACCACTCGCAGCTGTTCTACTTTTCTTCGATGGGTTGGCACTGATCAAAGAACCTTTTGGTTCAAAAGAAAGATAAGACAGAGTTCTCCAAAAAAAAAGTTGTCAAAAGCATAACTTCGGAGATTCAGAGAAAAGCGAGTTATGCATCGTCAAATGAGCAGAATTAAATCAATTCGAGAACACACCCACTAGAGACAAACCCACAAGAGGAGAAAGACTTTTTTTGCACCAATGAGGAGAGATGAAGTCTTCCCAAAATAGAGATATCCGTTAGCGCCTGATGACTTGTAAACATCAGACAGATTTTAAACTACAAAGTTCATTAGATCAGTAGCCCAATATAGACAAACACGTTGGAACACATTCATAAGCTCCAACGAAATAGTGTGCGCCATCAGAACATATGACGTAAGATAGGATTGTAATCAATGAAGACGTTCCAATTGAGGCTTCCAGTACCAACATACAAATAAACAGCCCATTTGTTATCTTCGGCTATCCGATAACCTTTTTTACCATTCTATTCCATTTTACTCCGGAAAATATTGATAAACGCGCCAAGGCTCCACTACGTACAATATCTTCCAACGTAAGCACATATTGACAATCTCTGCTTGACGTTTACGCGCACTCAGACTGACCGTTTGGTTAAATTTTTAATAAAATATTTTTGTTAAGCATAGATTATTACAAATTTCACTAATTATAATTAAAAAAAGTATGTCATTCGTCTCCAGATCGTTGAGATCGATCAGATCTCTTGAGCAAGCTCATAGAGCTTCAACAAACTTGCTGCGTCTTGACCGAGCGAAAGGTTCGTTTTCGAATAGCAGTCTCTTGCGTTTTGCTTTTACCTTCAAAATCGAGTGAAATGTCAAAAGTTTAGTTTAGAAGTGTCCCTGCATGCTCGAGCATCATCAGCTTCTGCTTCCCATGTAGCTTTCAAAGAAGAAGGGACTTCCAGCAAAGTCGATCTGAAAGTTGTTCCGTCAAAAGAAACTCTTCTTAGGGTTGATTGGCTGCTAGAGCACTTGGTCTTTTTGAGAAACTGAAATCTCATATTGAAACTTTAAATTTCAGACTCCAGGAATATTAAAATCAAGATTAAAAGCTTTCTTTGATATATGTAAGGAAGATGTTGTCTTCGAAGATAGACTCTACAATTATAATCTTTCACAACGTTCGCAGCTAGCGTACCACATAGCCAAAATCAGAATGTACTTTAGATACTTATCACCTTATAATAAAGTTGAGGTAGTTTCTATTTCTTTTTCTCTCTCGTACTGTGTCTTTGCAGAGAATCGGGTCTTGTGTGTATGAAGGAGAAGATGTCATAGTTTTATTATGGAGATTGTCCACCCTGGAATCCAGCTTCGTCTCTTACTTCCCTTCTTTCATAACTAAGAAAGAGGTACGATAGATTCTAACTGATAATTTCTCATTTCCAATCTTTGTAGCCTAAAATTAATGTTTCTGAAGGAGCTTTAGATATTTTCTTAACTCCTGAAGGGAAAATACATAAGATGGTTAATAGGAAGGTAAGAGTCTTCAGATTATCCCTCAACTACGACTTTCTCCAGATTACGGCATCTGATCGAGAAGGAGCTCGAGCCATGGAAAAGATTAAAGAAGAACGAAAGAAATTCGAAGAGAAGGAAGAGGAAAAGAAAATACGAAAGGAATTGAATGAGATGATGTGAAGACGCTCTAGTTAAGTTGTTATTATAGTGTTTGACTTTGAACTTTTTGAGAGTTTTATGTATAAAAGTTTTTTTTCTTTTCCTTTCTTGTTGGACTGTTGCGGTTGCTCACCGTTTTCCATATCTCCTTCTTGCTTCTCTTGTTTATTCATTTCATGTTGTAGAATGATATCTCCTTGTGTTCTTCGAGGAGTAGCTTGTTCTTCTCGAATAAGTTTCGGATGTAGGAGGTTCTCCGGCGACATTGATTACTCTCACGAGAAACCTCTTCCGGAACAGTTAGATCATGTCAGACAGCGTATTGTGGAAACAGTAGGTCTTATCTCATGGATTGTAGTGTTTTACTTTTCCTCATTTCAGTTACCGCTGCTCTTTAGACACAAGTTGGATTACACATTCTATCGGAAAGATGTTCTGTGTGTTGATCAGATATTTATGGTCGAGAAAAAGTTTCATTCTTCCTAGTCAAGATGTCTTACGAGTTTGTCTTCAGAGGCTTGGATGAGCTGATGGATCACTTCGGTAAGATTGGAGTTATGGGACAGTTCATATTCCCTCATATTGAGATGGAGGTAAGGATTTGATTCAGTTGAACTATTATCCTTTTTGTATAGCCTATTACTGTCAATCCATTTTTGGAAGATGGTACAGTACGCTGCAGATGGAGGATCAAGTATATCACATTCACTCAGCTTTTCACAGATCTCAAACTGTTCCGGAGAGAGTACAGGCTTCAACATGTAAGTTCAACGTTCTTAGGATTCTTGAAAGAGGAACTTTCAGTTGAGATGGTATGATGGCTATTCCATACTCTCAGTTGATGGTAATGGACAAGTTTACAAGCTAACAATCCAGAAGGTACGTTGACCATCTTGCTATGCTTTCTATGAACTGTTTGCAGACCCAAGTTGATGAATCTCAATTGTTGAATGAGAAAAGCACTAGTCAAAAACTAGCTGAAAAGATCGCTATATTCAGACCTCCTACCGCTACGAGCTTTGTTAAAGTTAAGAGAGATAGAGATCGTGATCTCGATTAGATGCTTCATAGTTTATTTATTCTTAGTATGATCTTATGTATTACTGTTAGAGCTAGATAGTTTGATGTCGGGTACTTATAGTCGTGTGAATCATTGACTGCCTTAATAATATTTTTTCTTTCTGTTATTACTCATGTGTACGGACGGTTCTGACCTGTTATACCTTTACTGTTTCATGTTGCTTATATACTATTCACATTAACAGGGTTCTACAATTGGTCATGCTGTCTCGCCAAGTCATCCGTTCAGCTCATTCCGCTGCTGCCCACACAGCTAAGGCTGTCAAGGTATGTTCTTTATATTTTTTACATATTAGCTCCTCTATTCTCAGGGTGAACAAGTGACCAAGTTGGCCAATGGATTGACTGTTGCCTCAGTAGACAACTTCGGGCCTTTGAGTCAGTTGGTACTTGCTTTCCGTGCCGGTTCACGTTATCAATCCCCCAACGAGAATGGGCTCGTCCATCACATCAGAAACTCTGTTGGAAGCGACTCCGAGAAATACCCTGGTCTTAGCCTTGTTTGGAGTTCCGCTGTTGCCGGAGGAAACTTGACCTCTTTTGCATCCCGTGATCTTTTCGGTGTTTCCCTCACCGTTCCAAGAGATCAAACCTCAGTAGCCCTCTCTATTCTCGGACATGTTGCTGCTCAACCAGCTTTCAAGCCATGGGACGTCGAAGAGGTTTGAGGTTCTGAAAGAAATTGAGTGAATTTTCGTGTTCTAGGTTCTCCCAAGTCTCAACCTTGACATCTCTTACAGACAAGCTTATGATATTGTTCTTGATGGAATTCATCAAGCCGCTTATAGGTATAGTCAACTTCACTCGTTTTAAGTGAATTATTGAGTTCAGAAATGGAAATTTGGCTAACTCTCCTTATGCTGAAGCTCATCAAGTAGGAAAAGTTTCATTCAAGACACTCCAGAGCTTCGCTGTAAGTTAGATTTGAACCGACAACGTAAAAATGAATATCATAGGAACAAAGACTTGTCTCTGGACAAGCTGTTCTTTTCGGATCCAATATTGAGCACGACAGACTTGTTTCATACGGAGATAACCACGCTCCAATCCGTGCTGCTAATGGAACTGGCCCAGAAAGCTCTCCATACAAGGTTAGTGGCTCGGGCATATCTTATCACGACATTATTCTAGGGAGGAGACTTCCGCAAGGAAACCGGAGGAAAGTACGCTCATGTCATTCTTGCTGGAGCTGGTGCCGCTGGAAGTGACGCTAAGGCTGTTGCTGTTCAATCTGTTCTCCTCAATGCTCTCGGACAAGGAGCCGCTGTCCAGTAAGCTACATACGCCGGTTTACCTTTACACAGTGTTCTATCAGATTCTCTGGATCTGCCGGAAACGGAGCTGTTGCCAAGGCTGTTGGACAACAAGGAGCTGCTACCGCCTTCCAATCCGTACACCAGGTCCTTTGTTCTGTTTACTCGTGATAGTCATTCATATTTATTAAGGATGCCGGTTTGGCTGGAGTTTACCTCGTTGCTGAGGCTTCCAAGATTGCCGGAGTAGTTTCTTCTGCTGCTAATGCCATCAAGAACTTCAAAGCTTCTGATATTGAATGTTTGTTTGCCATAAATATACATCCCTAATTCATTCTTATTAAGCCGCCAAGCGTCAAGCCACCAATGATGCTCTCCGTTCCTCTGCCCACAGCCAAGCCCACGCTGTAGATAGAGCCGGACAACTTCTTTCCGGAGTTCAAGACGGATCTATTGTTAACGCCATCCAAACTGTTAGTTTCCGTCTATTCTCTATTCTTATCTCAATCCTTCAGGTGACTGCCAGCGACGTCGAAGCTGCTGCCAAGAAAATCGCTTCCAAGTTCTCTGTTGCTAGCACAGGAAACGTTCACACCGTCCCTTATGCCGATTCTATCTAAATAGATTTTAGTTTTTGTTTAATCTTAGAGCAGAATGGGTAGAAAATCCATAAATAAATAAATATGAATTCCTTATTTCTCTAATCAATAGTTCTCTTCTATATGAAATACTTTGACGATTACAAGATCTGCATATCTAATTACTTTGGAGATGGCGCCTAAGGTGGAGAAAATGTTATATAACGTTGAGGCCAGGATTGACGAAGAGATTATTGAAAAGTATCGTAAGGCATTGGCAGAGTTCAAAGTTCCAGCTGAGGCAAGTGTGGCATGATGAAGCTTCGTAAACTATTATTCTTAGGAGGAGTTGGTTAGAGTCGATGAGAATTCAATTCGGCAGCATCCTTCCACTGATGTTGAGAGGTATTTCGAATGGGTTTCTCGTCATGGTAAACCCTGTCTACCCTGGAATATTATTAAACCTGCTTTCCTATGGAAAATAAAGGTTTGCAAGCTATTTGCGTAAAAAAAAGACGAATTTTATAGTTTGTCATGGATGAAATGATTGCAATGGAAAAAGAAAAGCAGAATGAAGATGGAGACAAAGCCAGGTTAATGGACGATCCCAGCTTTGCGGAGGTTTGGAGAGTTGTTTATAACGGAGTATTATTTTAATATCAGATGTATAATGGAATTCTTAGAAAGGCCGAAGAATTTGAAGGTGCTCCCTTCACATGGCAAAGGTACCAACCACTGTTTGTTGAATAAATCAAGCCAAAAATTGCTTTATTCAGACTTTGTGAACTTCTTCATACCCCGTCTCGGCACTATAAGAAAGCTCATAAGTTTATTCGAGCGTTAGATAAAACTGCCAATGTTGTTACGATTATAAATGAACAAGGACAAAGGTTTGCACACAATATAAATCCCAACTTAGTCATTATCCAGGGTGGCCGGAACGGATTGGATCATACCCGAAAGCGGAAGTGGTCGTATTGAACAATTCTTCTTCGGCAAAGTTGTAAGTGTGATTCATAAAAGATTCGATTCTATTAGGTCTCTGCCATGAAACATGAAATCGCATTCAAACCTTGTGGGTGGCAATGGCACATAGTTGTCATTTAATACAAGCCTTCTGCCAGGAGCGGTCGGGTGCATACATGCAGAACGGTTGTATAGAATACACTGAGGGATATTGTGTACGGGCGTCATTAACAGTCTCCTTTTCAGGATGAAGTTGATGGTGATGAATTGTGGGATCCAAACTTCCAAGCTACTAAAGAGAACCATCCTCAAAACATCGCAGAGTAAATTATTCATTGTTAACCTCAATCTAATCCCCTTCTAACATCTCCTTCAACACTCTATCCAGAGAAGTATTGAAGAGCTTTAGAAGAAATAAAGTTTATAATATTAGGTGTGCATAAGTTCGTGGCCCATGTATTCAGGATGGAGCATTTTCGATTTAAGCAAACTTCAACAAAATTCCAACTCCACCCAACAGTTTAATTAACTTTGAAAATCCAAATTCGTTTCATCTTCCCCGCTCTCAGACTTTGCTCGAAGATGAATGACTCATTGTTGTCTCAACGTTTTCATCATTGTCAAATGTCACATCCAATGTTAGTGTGTGGCCCACGAACTTTAGTGCTAACCTACTACTCTAAGAAAGTAACTGTCCATAATTTCTCGAAATGAGAGTTAATCGAACGTATTTCCATTTCTCAAATCTGATAATTAACTATTGCGAGTGCAGGGCTTCACCATATAGGTAGCCTTTGACCGTAGCCAAATAATCCGAGCTATATTATGAAAGTATCTCTTGTATGGTCCGTGTATTAAGATCTCTGTACTATTATATGAAGTTGTCTCACTGAATTAAATCATCTATAACTTAATTGTATGGCAATCGTGTGCTTGCACTTTGATAATCACTGTGGAGAGAGAGAACGGCAACTCAACATCACCACCACCACCACCACCACGACCACCATCATGATGTAGCAGGCTAGTTCGTTTCAGAGCCCTTGAGAGGAAAAACCTGAGTTTTAGGTTTGTTGGTTTTTTCTTGAAGACAAATAACAAATTTAGCAAGACAACAGAGCATTTATTTTCTACTTGGACCTTCCTTCACAATCCATTAGCTGTCTAAAAGTGGTCCAATCATTACAAACACCTTTTAATGGAAGTCATGTCATGAGCAATTTCCTTTTTATAAATGAAAAATCTACTATGTTCTACTACTCAAAATACTTGATATACTCAGCCAAGCAGAGTTACCTCTCAGCATTGCTCATTCGTTTGGAAAGATTCTTTCTAGTCGTTCTGTCATATGTTTATAAGTCTTTATTTCTAGAGTTGACATTCAATTCAAGATGTTCTCAAAAAGCTGCACGACTGAATTCGAAAACTGGGCCGACTCGTTAAATCAGACTCTTTTCAACTTATTTCCGAAATCAGCAACTAATGAGAGTAGTTTTCTGTGTATCTTTTTGAAAAGGCGATGTTGCTTAGATGTATTGAAATCCTTTTTCTGCATTTCCTTTGCAAACAACTTCATTTTAAGGAGAAAAACCTTCCTAGTCACTGGATTTTTACTTCTTTCTCTGCTTTTTTGGTAATCTGTGCTGCAGAACAATATTGAGCTATCGGATGTGGAGAACAAAAAAGGCAATCAGATGCGGGACGAGAAAGTTAGTGTTTCCTTTTTGAGTGAAATAGGCAGATTGCGCTGTATAAAAGCAAAACATGTGAGTTCAACTCAGCAAATGAGTAAAGAGCGGTAGGAGTCAGCAGAAGATTTCCACAAGTCTCCTCTACTCTCACTAATCTGATTGAAATCTGTGAACACCTTGCTCACGGCCGACTCACGAGTTGTGAAGTTTCGAGTGCACAAGTGGAAAATCGAAAAAAGAGAATGAAAGTTTGTATATTTGTTAAATCGTATATATATATATATATATATATATATATAATGTGTATACACGACGAACAAATTATGTGGAGCCAATCAATTTGTACCCGAGACCCTCTATGTTCTCTTTCTTTTTTCTTTTCCTCTCTGTGAAGGCAGATGGACAAAGAGAAACGAAAAAAACTGGGTTCCAAGCTGAGGTTCAGAGAGCTAGAACAAGCCCCCGAAGCAGTATGAAAATAAGGGAGTGGCGAAGAAGTCAGAGTAAAGTTCGCAAGAAATAAGAATGAATACAATGAGTAGGGTACAGTAGAAGGAAGAAGGAGAGATAGGGAGAGAAAGAGGGGGTTGAAAGAGAATGAAGCGGATACAAGGAAGGATGCGGACGACGATGACGCCGCCGAAAAACCGGCAAAGAGCTGGAAGCTTTGAACATGCCAACTTGCAAGCTTTTGAGACTTGAAGACAAACGTCATTGCTTCTTCATATTGCGCCAATTCTATGACCTCCAGGCCGTGCTGTTCCGAATTTGTCTCTCTTCATTATGATTTCATGCATTTGTTTCAAAATTACGTGGTTGTTTATTAATTTTTTCTTCAAAAACTTCATATTGGGTGCTATAAATACTTCCCTGCGTATTAGAAACTGATTAGTATATAGGAAGTGTGAGGGAAAGGAAAATGAAGAAAAGAGAGATGGAGGGAGACAAGTTTCCGGTCCTGCGTGGGTCTGGGCTGCTTTTCCGTGAAAGGAATTATCATTAGATTGCGGACTGTGGGAATATGGACTCTCACCGCCAGGCTACGCGTCGGTGGCCAGCCTATGTATATGAGTTCTCCATTTTTCGCTTTAGCATCGTTTCTCTCTCTCCGCTCACTCTCTCTAAAAATATCTTTTTCGTTTTCATTCCATCTCTTTATTTTTCTCTTGCTCTCTTATAGGAAAGGTTTGAGCGAGTATGTATCCGACCAATGCTTTCAAGCGACAAGCTCAAAAAAAGTTGAAAATAAACTAAATGCCATATTCTTACGATAAATTTTTCATATTTTCCTCAAATGTAGTTCAGAAGCATAATTATTTCTTTTCTTTCAATCTCAATATCCAAGATATGATATGGTTCTGTGAGTTCTCAGAGAGCAATTCCGTCCCGTCTACACCTTGTCTTTATTTGGCCCTGCCCGGCAGCCGATAAATAATTTAAAAATAGTTCATGCCTTTTTTTAATTTTTTGTCTACGAAAATCAAAAAAGTGATGTTCATTCCAAATAAATAGACCGGAGAGAAGAAAAAAGAGTGGAGGGGGGG